TACTTATGAATCAATGCACATCACGTACTTTACTTGGGAGGGTTTCCAATCCATCTAAATTCGAACTCCATAGTAGCAATCCACGCGACGAATCACTCAAGCACATCACGTACTTTACTTGGGAGGGTTTCCAATCCATCAAAGTTCGAACTCCATGGTAGCAATCCATGCGACGAATCACTCAAGCCAACCGCAGATTCCTTCTCCGATGAGTTAATAGGCATCACATACGTTACTTGTATGTGATGGGAAGAGAATATATTGAAACTATATAAATGGAAGGGAAGAGAGTACTTTTCCACTCATATCAATCATAAATACATAAGAGAAAAAGAAAAAAAGCTTCCTTAGTTTTTTTTTCTTTTGGCAAAGATCAGATACATCAGAAATATGGCTGAGGCGATCGTTTCTATGGTGCTCGAAGGCTTCAAAAGCCTCATTGTGAACGAAGCCAAGTTCTTAAGTGGAGTCAGCGATCAGTTTGAGCATGCACAGAACGAGCTCTACTTGATGCGGAGCTACCTGAAAGATGCAGATGCAAAACAAGGAGACGATGAATTAGTACACAATTGGGTTGGTATTATTAGAGATGCTGCTTATGATCTGGAGGATATCATTGAGTCCTTTGTCTTGAAAGTGGCTTCCAGGAGGAAAAGAAGTATAAAGCTTGTTCTGAAAAGGTCTGCTTGTATCTTGAGTGAAGGAATTAATCGTCACAAGATTGGGTCTGAGATTGAGAACATTGCAACCAAACTTTCTAAGCTGAAATCGAGCTTAGAAGGTTACAGCATAGCAAGGCAAATAGGGGGGAGTGTAAGTGCTACTTCTTTTGAGAGGCAACAAGATTATCGGTTAACTTATTCTCATGTTGTTGAACACCATTCTGTTGAGTTAAAGGAAGAGATTGACCTGTTGGCCGAAAATTTGGTTAAAAGAAAATACCAAATTGTTTCTATTTGGGGGATGGGTGGTTTGGGGAAGACCACCCTTGCAAAACAGCTTAATAATCATAAGGATGTTAGGGCTGAATTTGATTGTTTTGCTTGGGTATGTGTAACTCAACACTTTCAAAAGGAAGATGTGTGGAAGAAAATTTTTGTTCAACTTACATCTGATGCCGACAAGGACAGAATTGAAAACATGCAGACGGATCAAATTGCAGGGGAGCTTTGTGTACTGCAACGAAAGAAGAAATGTTTAGTGGTTCTTGATGACATGTGGACTCGTGATGCATGGAAATCTTTAAGAGATGGATTTCCAATTAATGATGATACAGGAAGTCGAGTAGTCATCACCACTCGCAACAAAGAAGTCGTTTCGGAGGCGCATGAAAGAGTTTACTTGCACCCAATTCGGCCCCTGAATGATGCTGAAAGCTGGGAACTGTTCAAGAAGATAGTAACGTTTGGAAGAGATAACACAAGTATTTTCTCAACCAACCTCTTCTTCTTTACTTTTCGTATTAATCAACTGAGCATTGTTACATATTACGTTACTCCATTTGGCAGTGCATTGAAACAAAAATCTAGAATTTATGCACAGATATTTTCTTAAACTGCTAATTATACATTGTGCTGTGCATATCATGTCATTCATGTTGAGAAGAAAGCTTTCAAACTACTCATAAATGTATTAGCATTAAGTTTCATAATCATAAGGATACAAAACTAAAACTGTGTTATAATTGTGATTCTCCTCTGAATGTTGCTCTTTGATGTAACACGCAATAGACTAAACTTAGCAAATAAAGAATAACTAGAAACACACAAGATTTTTATTGATTCGGCATATTTTTGCCTACATCTAATTGTGGTTTCTCTATCTGGATAGAGAAACCACGGCTTCTTTGATTAATAATAAAGTACACGCTACTTTTACAAACCCTATAACTAAACCTCTCTCTCCTCTCTCGGCTGTCTCTGTTTTTCTGCTTGGTTTTCAGCCTTGCCGCACCATGTTTATAAGTATAGGGTGTGGTTTACATGCCTATTTTCGATTAGGTTTCCTATTCTATATGGGATTGGAAAATACATTTTCTTTCCTATTCCAATTCTGCTTCTAGGATTCCTAATCTAATTGTATAAGAAAACTTAATTCTTTCTTAACCCTTGTAGGATAAGAATCTGTGCACATTAGCTTTCCTAATACAATCCTAAACAAAGTAGAAATTGACGAACCAATTCCTAACAAACTGAACATTCTATTTAACTGAAAAAGTGTACGTCTAGGCGTCACTCAATGCGTTTCTCCAGTAGGAATGTCAGTCAGTTGCACTGTTAGTGTTAATGTAGTGAAGATCGATCAATATTTGCCGAAGGGCAGATGGACATTGCAGATGGACATTTGTTACTAGCAAGCGTGCATACTTTTGGAATATCATATTAAGTGTTGTATGTTTTGCAATATATGGCAAGTGTAGTTAATTTATTCGGAATTTCTATTCTTTAACCAGACTCGGAAATCGATAGAGGGAAGGAAGAACTAGGGAAGGAGATGCTTAAACATTGCGGGGGTTCGCCATTGGCTATCATCGTGCTTGCAGGACTTCTAGCTAGAAAAGAAACGGTTGAAGATTGGAAGACTGTGCAAAAGAATGTTGGCGCATACATAGGGAGAGGCACAGACCTTGAATCACGGTACAAAGGTGAAAATAGTGAAGGTACCTCACGTGTATTGGCATTGAGCTATGAGAGCTTACCGTATCATTTAAAACCCTGCTTCCTATATTTGGGTCATTTTCCTGAGGATCGTGAGATACCAGTGAAAAGATTGATTCAATTGTGGATTGCAGAAGGTTTTATCTATTCAGCATCTGGAGAATTGTTGGAAGATGTGGCATACAATTGCTTAAATGAGTTGGTCATAAGATGTATGGTTCAAGTTGGACATCCTGGTTCAACCAATAAGATTAAATCTTGTCGCCTCCATGATCTTATGCGAGATCTGTGCTTGTTACAGGCGAAACATGAGAATTTTTTCCATATTTCAGATTCTTTTGCCAGGGCGACCCCGGTATCACCAAGTGGTAAAGTTCGAAGACATGTCATCTATTTAGACAAAATAGGTGATATATTAAATCCCCCGACAGATGGTCAACTTAGGTCTTTGTTATACTTTACGTCAGATGGGCTATGGTTTGGAAAACCAATTGGACAATGGTTCCAGAATATCAAATTGCTTAGAGTTTTGAGTTTCGAAGTGTTTGGAAGAGAAGTAGAGCTACCGAGCACAATTGGGAATCTAGTGCACTTGAGGTTTTTCAGTCTAGAGGGTTGTGTCGTAACACGATTTCCATCATCTATGTCTAAGTTGGTATGCTTGCAAACTCTAAATTTACGTTGCTTCAAGCTTAAAGAGATGAAAAGGAGTTTCAGAAATCTGCACAATGTGATTCGACATTTGGGACAATTGAGACACTTATATTTACCAGCTCTAGGGTTCGGACTCAGAGCAGCAGAGAAGAGAGTCTTGCCATTGGCTACTCTTGGAAATTTGCAGACATTAGTCAATGCTTCGAACTATGATTGTCGTTTGAGTGATCTTGCTGGATTAACCAATCTTAGGAAAATGTCCATCGTTATAGTACCACCGGAAGATGAGATGAATAACGTTGATTCTGAAACCATACAATTCAACCGTCTTCAGTCGCTGTCTCTGGAATCTTCAACTGAGGTAGAGGTTTCGGTAAGGATTCTACTAAGCTGTCGTAATATATACAAGCTGAAACTTGATGGGCCAATTGCAGGGTTACCGAAAGACCTCCTGGACTATCCAAACCTGACCAAGATAAAGCTTGACAGAACTTCTCGCATGGACGAGCACATAAAAATACTAGAGCAGCTGCCGCATTTGAAATTTCTTTGGCTTGATGCCGTCACTTTGGAGATTCCAATACTTGTCTTCTCCAAACAAGGCTTTCCTTGTCTCGAATTTCTTTCCATTTCTTGGATAGATCAACTAAAGGAGTGGAGGGTGGAGGAAGGAGCCATGAATTGCCTCCGCAGATTGCGAGTTATATGGTGCCAACGGTTGAAGGAAGTTCCAGATGGGCTTCGATATATTGAAAAACTCGAGGAATTAACCATCAAGATGATGCCCCCTGGATTCTGTAGTGCACTTCGGAAAGGAGGAAAGGATTTTGACAAGATCAAACATGTCGCTTCTGTTAACTTGGAAGATTGGAAGATGCCTCCATCTCACAAAATCAGGTACAAACTCCGTCAGCTAATATTAATCTGTTAATAATCGAAGATGGCAATGGCATACATCTGTTGCATCAACTTGAATTCTCTAGTGCAGTTAACTTGTTCTCAACTTAAAATTCTACCAACTCATCATTGTTTCTTTCATTTTTCTTTCTTTGTTTTGAAAGATCCGAGCGCAACGAGAGGCCGGATTGGGAGCAGTTCAGTTCTGAGGAATCTACAGCGGATGCTGTGTGAGATTGACTCTGTTCTTCTACCAGTTGTGTATGAAACATCTTTTATTTCTTTGTTGATTTGTTATATTAAACATATAGCTCGTGATGATCGGCTGCTTCTCAGGAAATAGTCGAATAAAAGTTATGGATAATAATTTGAATGATCGTGAGCCTCTTCATCCATTACCAATCGGTTTTGAATTGAATGCTCGCAGTCTAATAGTATTTAATTGTTTCTGTTTCACAATATATGTGGTTTAATCTACGTTTGTACATAAATAATTATGAATTCTATGATTGTATATTCTGTATTTTTAAGGGATTTTAACATTTTATATTTCCCCAGTTTTACTTGTAAATTTAATCTTACATATTTTTATATACTCTAAAGTGTATAGTATATACTAGGTAATAAGCCCGCGTTGCGGCGGAAACCAACTATTTCAGGCGTAATTGCATGAATAAAATCATTGTCTAGTGCTTATCAAGAGTATTTTCTATTAGCATGTTTACGAATTCTCTAGTATGTCCATCAAAAAGTAAATATATTCTCTATTATATATGTTTTCAGTAATCGTACTTGGTGGTGAAACAAACAATGTTTACTGATGCATTCAAACTAGGTAGTAACCAACAGTGAAATGTTTCATCCTCTCACCAATTAATTAATAAGTGAATAAACAAATTACTAAACTTTCTTTAATCACAACAGGCACAAAGCAAAAAACAAAAATCATTTACCTTGATGACAAATTACTCTAGAGTCTGAACGGTTACATTTTCTTATTGTTTAAAAACTGAAAATCTACAAAGTGTTAACATTTGCACATATATCAGAAAAGGCATTATAGATTGGATTTATCCTTTGAGAAAACCGACAACTACTGTAATGTAAACTACCAAATACCAAATTAAATACTCGAACATGACAACCCCAAACATAAACAAAATTCTATATGAATTCAAAACAATATTAATTAGGGCAAAAAAACCCCAAACATAAACAAAATCCCAAACCAATTGAAAAAAAAATTGGGCCAAAATAGGCCAACCCGTGCATTCCTCATCCTTCCCTCTTGTTTTTTTTTCAGTCACGCCATTAATCTGTCTCCTCTTAGAATTATATAAACAACAGCAGAAAACATTAATGCAGTAATAAAAAATAAAAAGGCATTCGAAAAGAGAGAGTCGTTGAATTTTAATTTACCCAAAAAGTACAGAGATCCAGGACTCACAGATAAATTAATTTCAGGATCAAATACTAAAGGGATAAGAAACTTTACCCTTTTCTCATTTGCAGGTACCAAAATCAACTTACAAAATTAAGGTTAGGGTTTTCATATTCTCTATTGGGTAATGAAAGTCATGTGAAAAGTTCGGAAAGAACCAAACCAACATCCAATTTAGTACACACCTAAGAAAAACATAAGTAAGAAACTATTTCCAATTCGTCATTCATTTATCAAACAAAGTAATACAGTCATAGAAAAACTCTTAACTCACTTATCAAAATTGAATTAATTAAATTGGATATTGGGGTCAAAATACAACTTGAATTACACGACTCAAAATACAACCCAAATAGAACACAAATGGCCCATAGAAAAAAAATGCGAAATATTTACCAATCACTATTCACAGTTTTAGTCAAAGAACTCAAATTTCAGAGATACAAAACAGAGAAGCTTGTATAAATCATTTATAAAGGTTACCTCCTTTTGGTTGAAAAACTGAAAGGTGACGCCAATTCTTCTTCTGCTTCCACCTCCTTATGGAACTTGACCCGCTAGTCACATTTGTACGTGAACCTGAAATCAGCAAACGGTCAGTACCTTTGGCAAGCTCATGGGGGTATGACAACATGTATGGAAAGATTATTGCAACTCTAATATAAAACAAACGCTTATGAAAAAAAAAAAAAATTGTCAGAGGTTAATGACTGACAACACTGAAGATTATTGCAACTCTAATATAAAACAAACGCTTATGAAAAAAAAAAAAAAAAAATTGTCAGAGGTTAATGACTGACAACACTGATAATAGGGTAAGCATTTCTGTACATATGAAGGTTATCACCATTGCCATCAAAATTTAGGGAGTAACTGAATGAGTGTTTGTTAGTAAACCAAAAAGAAACATAATCAACTACAACCTTATGGATCTTGCTTGATTCATTGAGTAATATATGCTGTAATCATTAGGAGGATCAGGGAGAGGACCTGATGCAGGTCCTTGAGAATTGCACAGATCTACAGTTCAAGCTCCGAACAAAGTATTGTGACATTCATCATTCCTAAAAAAGTTATTGATTCACAAATAAACAAATGAAAGTAATCGGAAAAGAAACGCTTACCGCATACTGGCTGAATCCAAGCTCAAAATGACCACAATATTTTACCGGCGATCATTACAGAGAGATTGCTGCCTGGGACTTCTGTCCATCCCCTAAACTTTCATTCAATTAAGTCTCAAACACTTTAATTAAGTTAAAAAGAACAGTTCAATTCTACCAAAACTATATACAGAAACTGAGAAAAACAGAACAAACAGTGGTGCAAAGGTCTATAATGACACTAAATCTTCAAATGAAATTAAAAAAAAAAACCCAAACCAATATAAAAGCCAAAGTCATTCCTAGCAACTGTAAAATAACAATTAAAAAACGAAACCCATATAAGTTCACAACAAATTAAAACGCCTAGATCAACATTAACATTAAATTAGCTACAAACCTAGATAAACCAACACTAAATTAGACTAAACTAATAAGACAGAAGCTTCAAATCAGATTCCATATAAAAAATTTGGATAAAACCAACAACAAAACCACACCTTGTTCCTGTTCTGTCTCCCTTCTCTTGCTTTTTCTCTTTTGCCTACTCCCCACATTAAGCCTTTTTTTTCCTCATTTTTTCTCTTTTGGCAGCTCACTTAACCCCCATTTTTTTTTTTCTCTTCACTTTCCTCGATTTCCAGTCCCCCCTTTCTTCCACAACTATCTTTTTTTCCTTATTTTTTCCATCACTACTCTAGACGCTAATTCTCTACTCTTTTTTATCTCTTAATTATTTCACTCAATCAAAACATGGGATCACATTTTCTCAAGCAGCCAAAAAAAAAACTGACCAACCCAAAATCAGAAAAACATCCAAACTAAAACATACAATCACCATTGTCCAGCAGCAAACGATAAATTAGAAATACAAAACAAAGAAAGAAAAGAAAAAAAAAACAGAAAATGCAAAAACCCAAATGCAAAAAGAAACAAAAGGGTGTTGCTTTGAATGTAAACGGGGAAATACCTGAGCATCAGAAGAAGAGGACTTATCATTTTCTTCATTTGGAAGCGACATGACTCTGCTAAATGGGATTATAAACCTACCCAAAATACAGAAAATTTATTAGAATTCATCGCCAAACAAAAGAAGAAATCGTTTTTCAAAAGCAAATTTGATATTAAATCAAGAATTTAAGAGTATATGTACATATATCAGCTCAGAATTTATAAGCATACAGATCGTGTATTTGATTGAACTGAGAGAGAGAGAGAGGGACTTACTGATTGTTTCTAAGGGAGAGAGGGAAGCGATCGGAAGCTGCTCCCTTACTCTTTCTCCCCAAACCCATACCTCCATACCTCCCTTACTCTTTGTCGAGGGGGGGGGGGAGAGAGAGAGAGAGAGGAAAGGTGGGTTCGTGGTGAGTGAAGGGGTGAAAAGACATCCCCCATACTTCTCCCTTACTCTCTCCCTAAACCCATTCCTCACTGCCGAAAATCCTCTCCCCACTCCCCTAAATCCCGGCGAACCTCTCCCTCCGACCCGTCAACCCTTCTGTTCCCCTTCCCTCTCTCTACCCCGACTCAAAGTCCAGATCCAGCCCAAACACCGAAAAAACGTTCTTAAGCCCAATGGCAATCGTGTAAATAAAGCGAAATTTGGGTTGAAATCAGCCCGGTGGCAATTTTGTAAATAAACTGAAATCAACCCAAAATTGCACAGTGCCAACCTCCCTTCTGCTTTAGACTAAAGTAATACTCTAGGGAGTCGAAACGACGCCGTTACGAGACCCCTTGCCCTTTGGTATGGAGAGAAAGAAACTCCATTTTGGTGGTACGACCATGACGGGAACGCGTGCGACCAAACCAAGCGGCCGAAAGCGGGGACACGTCTTCTCCCACCACACTCGAAAAACGTAAGTTCGTATATACCCCTACCTTTGAATTCTAATTCCAGTAATACCCTTCTTTCTGTTTCCCCATACAGTACTAGCGCGAAAACATTCGAAAGTAGATAGATCAGTGCCCTTTTTTCTGAAGGGTACTTAAGTAAGTTCGTCTCGTGCGAAAACATCCGAAAACAAGAGGGAGAAGAAGTGTTGGAGAGCGAAAACGAAGCCAAAGCCGACGAGGTTTTGTATGGGAAGAAGAAAGGGAAAGCGCCCACTACTATTAGCCTCAAGAAATTTTGCAAAGTAAGCTCCTTTAACATTTGATGACCGTTTCGTTTTAATTTCGGGTTTTCAATAAATTGGGTTTTTGGAGGTTTTGTTTTGCTTTTTGTTGGAGTTGATGTAGGCTCAATTTGAAAAGCTTGTCGTGTCAATGTTCGTCTTAGTTAGTTGCAATCGTAATGCTTCGAACAAAATTAGATTTCTACCATAATATGAGAAGTAGCCTAACTTCTTATAAGCCCGTGCAGTCCCTCCTCCTCCTATTGATGTGAGACTTATTCTCAACACGTCCCATCATGTGTAGTGAATTTTCTTGGCAATATAGGGAGTAGTCCAACCTCTTATAAACCCATGCAAGGTCTCTCATTTCATCGATGTGGACTCATTCTCACTACGCCCCCTCACGTGTGGCGAATTTTCTAGCCTAACACGTGGACAACATAACGGGATGACGTGGAGCACATGAGGCTGTTTGGCTTCACACGTGTGACAACCTACTTTGATACCATGAAGAAAGTTGGGATCCCACTACAAAACCAATTGACAATATAGGAAGTAGCCCAATTTCTTATAAGCCCATGCAAGGTCCCTCATCCCATCAATATATGACTCATTCTCAACATGCTTAACGTATAAATTCATTCATTTTAGCTAGTCTCAGTTTAATCGTATAGAAACTGATTTGTGTATGTGGTCTGTTTTAGGGGCCAAACAGCTGGAGGATGCTTTAGGGAATGGATATCAATGCAGAAAAAGGTGTTGTTCTTGTTGCCTACAACTTTGGCTTTCTGTACGTTTAAGTATATTTTACCTGTTTTGTTTATCTTAAGTTCTTAACTGAGATAAAGAAAGATATAATCAGATAATACAGAAACGGGAAATATGCTATTGAATTGTGTAGTCAGTTGATACAGTGACACATTGTTTAGCACGTGTTTTCGTTCTTCCCCCGTTCCCTGTGAGATGTCATATTTTTCCCGGGTAGAATATTTGGCAAGACAATAAGTGCTTGCTTTGATTTCTTTTTGGGGGTTGGTTAATATATTGCTTTATTTGTTAATTTTTTTATGGTATAGCGTTGATTCTCGCTTCAATGACAACTGGGAAGCCCATTTTGATCCATAAGAAAGGTAGGTAGCAAAGTAGTTGGACTTCACTGTGCAGCCAGACCTTCTACTGAGTAATGGAAATGATCACTTTGTAAGTTTCTGATTAACAAATTTGAAACATTTATGGATTGCATGGTTGTCCGGAATTAGAGGTCGCACTTGGTGCGATGGTAAGTGCCTTCGCCCATGAGCGGTAGGTCTCGGGTTCGAGACTTGGGAGCAGCCTCTCCATAAATGGGGGTAAGGCTAGCCGACATTCACCTCTCCCAGACCCTGCGTAAAGCGGGAGCCTTGTGCACTGGGTACGACCTTTATGGTTGTCCGGAATTCTCTGCATGCATGTACGTATTGTCTGTTTTCATCTATGTTCGAGCTCACTTTACTCTAATTGCGCACTATTCACCGGCATGCTGAGTTGTTCGTGTTGGCAGTCCCATTTCAGTGGGGGAAGTAAAAAAGGATGGCTTTAAATATGATTACCCTACTCTAGCTAATACCGAAGCCTTGTGTGGTAAAATCTCACTTCTGACGGATTGGGCAGGTCGTAAAATTGGAGACAGTATCGGTGTCATTAGAGTGGCCCCCCGGGCCATCAATCTAAAAAATTTCAACAGCTTGGCCATATCTCGTACTTTCAAGCCTCTATTTGGGCAGGCAAATGCTTTGGCATTGATAACCACCCTTGAGAAATATTTGGTAGTAGAAATCTTGAGTCTGTACGAATATACTAGTGTTGGAGAGTTCGATCAGATAATGAATATATTACAGTTTCCATGATATGATCAAAGAAATAAGAATTAATTCCTAGGGTTTTAACCTTGCATCTCACGTATGACTTGTGGTATAAGCATCTTCACACTCAAACATGATGCCAAAAGTACTTTGCCCCTTATTGCAATTTATAAACGAAGTTATGTATGATTTCACCAATATGTTCCATAGGGACTCGCCTCAAGCACTGATGACGGTTATGGGAGCTCTTTATGCCGCTTGCTTGTTTCTTGGGGTCAATAACGCTTCATCAGTTCAACCAATTGTTTCAATTGAGAGGACAGTATTCTATAGACAGAAAGCAGCCGGGATGTATTCTCCATTAGCTTATGCAGCAGCCCAGGTAAGCGCCATACTATAATGAAAATGTTTGCAAAATTTATTCTAGGAAAGAACATGCGATAATTATCTTATTTGCCTTATCGACTGCAGGGCCTTGTCGAGATCCCATACATTGCTGTGCAGACAATAGTATATGGCGTAATCACGTACTTCATGGTTTCATTTTGAAAGGACGCTTAGTAAGATCCCTATTTTTTACTTCGAATACACGTTATTTGGAATTGATCTTTTTCATTAACTGTGATATTACTGTAGTATTATTTTCTAAATTCACAAGTGAACACTGCAACCCGAAATTCAAATTCTGTTTGGTTATGTGTTGTAGGAATGTTTTTGCTCTATATTGTGTTCATGTTCCTCACATTCACCTACTTTACCCTCTATGGTATGGCGGCTGTTGGTGTCACATCTTCTCAACATCTTGCCGCTGTTGTCTCCTCTACTTTCTACTCTTTGTGGAATCTCCTCTCGGGTTTTCTTGTCCCAAAGCCAGTAAGTAATATGCTTACAATCGCTGCATATCTAGTTCATTATTCAATGTCTCGGCCTTTGTTTCAGAAAAACCAATCGTTTTACTCGTTAACTAACCTTTGGTTTTTGTAAAAAATTCATTTCAGCATATTCCGCAATGGTGGATTTGGGTTTACTACATCTGTCCAGTGGCATGGACCCTTCGGGGTATTATCACCTCGCAACTTGGTGATGTGGAGACCAAGATCATGTTAGACGAAGTCATGATCCACGTGACTCCAAACCCTAAAGAAAGGTCCACGACAGAACCTCCACCTTCTCGCTGTACAACCTGACAGAAGGAATACTTCACATGGTTTCTGGCATTTGTATTATTTATTGCATGCGTGTATTAAACTTGTATATAAACCATGATGTCAGTACAGCAAGGGTTAAGGACATTATTATTATTTATTGCATGCTTGTAAACTTATATAAACCATGCTGCCATTGCAGCAGGTAGGGTAGTGAGTAAGCTTGATTATTCATCAGTAAAGACCATATTCTTCATGGTATCAGAGCCCTACCGTCTAACGACTCGATCCACCCTTCGTTTTATTTTTTTTTTCTCACGCTTCCATGGCTGACGAAAATGGCACCTCCTCCCAGTCCACCATCACCACCCCGCCTACCACCAATCCCTTCCATCCTTTCTCCACAGTGGTCCATATTAAGCTTGATAGATCCAACTACTCACTGTGGTTGGCTCAAATTCTCCCAATTCTCCGAAGTCGAGATCTGATGGGATATGTGGATGGTACCTCAGTGTGTCCTCCAAAACACTTGCCTGGTATCACCACTGTCAATCCACAGTATGCTGCTTGGGTCCAACAGGATCAAACGATCCTTAGTTGGATAAATGGCTCCTTAACTGCTTCTGTCTTGTCTACTGTGGCCAGCAAGAGGACTGCTCGCGCCACTTGGGAAGCCTTGGAGCAGAGGTATGCCTCGACATCCCAAAATCGAATTTTGTTCCTGCGAAATGAATTGTTGCAGACCAAGAAAGGTGATCTCTCTGTTGCGGATTACCTGGATCGCATGAATGCGATATCTGATAACCTAGCCCTAGCCGGGCAACCTGTCTATGATGATGAACTTGTACAGATTGTGTTGAACAATCTAGGACCTGCATTTGAAATGACAGTGAGTGCTGCTCAAGCTCGGGATACTCCCATTACTTATCCCACACTTGAGTCACTACTGTTGACCACTGAACGCCGAATGGCGGAACAAGCAGCTTCCTTGGCCGAGACTGCATCTGTGAATGCCTTTGTTGCTGCTCGCAGTCGTGGCGGTGGAAGGTCGAGAGGAAATGGGAGAGGTGTGTCTTCCTCCAATCGTGGCATTCCATTCAATCCCCGAGGTTACAACCCTCGTCCCAACCATCAGCGTAACCCGCCAAATGGTGATCGTCTTCCTTGTCCCGGTGAGCGCATTGTTTGTCAAATTTGTGGCAAACCAGGTCATCCTGCCCTTGATTGCTACCAGCGAATGAATGCGGCGTATGAAGGTAGGATTCCTACAAAAAAACTTTCAGCTATGACCTCCTCTCCTAATGCTCTGAACAAGCAACAGAATTGGCTTCTGGACACCGGTGCTAATGCACACATTACTCCTGATCTTCAAAACCTTATCAACCCTAAGGAGTATACTGGTAATGAAACTATTGGAGGTGTAGGTAATGATTCTGCCATCCCTATTTTGCATTCTGGTTCCAATCAATTACGTACTAAAGCTTGCTCATTTAAATTAACCAATATTCTCCACTGTCCCACTGCTTCTCAACATTTAGTTTCTGCCCATAGGTTTACATTAGATAACCGATGCTACCTACTAATATTTCCATATTTTTTCCTTGTTAAGGACCTCAAGACCCGGAAGACGCTTTTCCGAGGGAGATGTGAGAATGGGTTATACCCATTTCAAAGTGGCAGTGGACAACTCCAGTTTCCCATTTCATCCTTTGTTGGAGTCCGGTGTTCTGTGAAAACATGGCATGCCCGTCTAGGTCATCCGTCTCATTCCATCATTAAGTTTTTAATTTCAAAAAAATTAGTACCAATTCATGGTACTTCTGATGTTAGTTTTTGTGAGACTTGTCCCTTAGGAAAGAGCACTAGATTGCCTTTCTATGCGTCTGAGTCTGTTTCTCAATTTCCTTTGCAACTGTTGCATTCTGATGTGTGGTCTTCTCCAGTTATTTCTAATGAAGGTTTTCGTTATTATGTTTTATTTGTGGATGACTATTCTCGCTATTCTTGGACTTTTCCTATGAAAAACAAAAGTGAAGTTTTCGAAATTTTTGTTAAATTTAAAGCTTGTGTTGAGAAAATGCTTAATCTTTCCATTAAAACATTTCAATGTGATGAAGGAGGTGAATATAAGAGTCGTGCATTTCAAAATTTCCTTAGCACAAATGGTATTTCTCAACGATTTTCATGTCCTAAACATCCGGAACAAAATGGACTTGCCGAAAGAAAACATCGACACATTGTTGAAACAAGTGTGGTTATGCTTTCCCAATCTCACTTGCCCAATCGTTTTTGGTTTGATGCGTGCTCAACTGCAACATATTTGGTGAATCGAATGCCCACAAAACTTTTGTCTCATGTGTCACCGTATGAGAAACTGTTTAACAAAACCCCAAAGTATGACATGTTGAAAGTTTTTGGTTGTCGATGCTTTCCTTGGTTGGTACCCTACACAAGCAATAAACTTCAACCCAAATCCAAATCTTGTGTTTTCTTAGGATATTTACTCAATCATCAAGGCTATAGGTGTTTGGATGTGTCCACACGACGAGTGTACTTGTCACGCCATGTCCTATTCGATGAGGACTCCTTCCCTTTTAAGGGACTCACATCTTCCTCTGCAGACGTCATTCCACCAGGTAACCATGTCTCCCCTGAACTTTTATTAACCTTTAATATGCCTGCTAGGTCAAGTCCTTCCCAACCCCACGCATCACCTTCTCCATCAATTACTTCCTTTCAACCTCAACCGACCTCTACCCGTGACCAAACATGTCCTTCAATCACTACTCAGTTGCAACCTGAACAAAATAACTCCCTAGCCCAACCTCATTCTATTTCTACGACCCATTTGTCTTCCTCGCCCATCCAATCAATCTCCCCATTGCCACCCACCCTACCCTCAAATGAGCAAGTCACGGTATCCACAGCACCGATACCAATGGTGCCTGAACCTCAGGGCAATCGTATGACCACACGTTCACAGTCAGGAATTCACAAGCCCAACCCTAAATATGCCATGCATGTCACTGTTGACAAGTTTCCTCTTGAACCCAATTGTTTTAGTCAGGCTGTGAAGTCTCCAGAATGGAGAAATGCTATGGTTCATGAGTTTAATGCGCTGCAGCAATGTGGGACATGGACCTTGGTTCCGTTTCATCCCAGCATGAATTTGCTTCCTAATAAGTGGGTTTTTAAGCTGAAGCGACGTGCAGATGGCACGATTGAACGTCATAAGGCGCGTCTTGTGGCAAATGGGTTTCATCAGAAAGTTGGTGTGGATTACACCGAAACATTCAGTCCTGTTGTGAAACATACAACTATTCGGCTTGTTCTCAGTCTTGCTGTCTCAAAAGGTTGGCATGTTCGACAGCTTGATGTCCAGAATGCCTTTTTGCATGGGTTTTTACGTGAAGATGTATATATGAAACAGCCTTCGGGGTTTACTGACAAGCAATTTCCCTCTCATGTTTGTAAGCTTCAGCGGAGTATTTATGGTCTTAAGCAGGCACCGAGGGCGTGGTTTGAGAGATTCTCGGACTTCTTGCTCCAACTTGGTTTTCAGGAATCAAGCTGTGATTATAGTTTATTTGTCTACAGTCACTCCGGTGTTTACTTAATCCTTCTAATCTATGTGGATGATATTTTAATCACTGGCAACAGTCCTCATCAAATATCTAGGTTGATTAAAAGGCTCGACACCTTGTTCTCGATGAAGGATTTAGGACCCCTTAATTATTTTTTGGGTGTGGAAGTCAAGTATGATGGCACAACTATGCATCTTTGTCAAGCAAAGTATGCGTTGGACTTGTTGTCACGTACCAAGTTCACAGATGCAAAACCAATTTCAACGCCTGCTGTATCTGGTCAGAAACTCAGTGCACATGTTGGTGATCCGTTCGAACACCTCGATCTGTATCGGAGTGTGGTTGGGGCCCTACAATATCTAACGGTTACACGTCCTGATTTATCCTATGCTGTTAATCAAGTCTGCCAGTTTATGCATGCCCCCACTACTCATCACTGGATGGCGGTGAAACGGATTCTTCGTTATTTGAAGGCCACACCTAGTCATGGTCTTCTGTATAAACCAGGCTCGGCACAACTTTCAGCATACTCTGATGCGGACTATGCGGGGAATCCTGATACTCGACACTCTACTGGAGGATTTTGTATTTATCTCGGCTCCAATCTTGTTTCTTGGAGCTCCAAGAAGCAGAAAACCGTGTCTCGGTCGAGTGCTGAGGCCGAGTACCGGCAGTTAGCCTACACAGCCGCCGAGCTTTCATGGTTACGTTCCTTGTTCAAAGACCTGCAGTTGTATCTTGTGTGTCCACAGATATGGTGCGACAATGTCTCTTCAATTGCCCTTGCTTCTAATCCTTTGTTTCATTCACGGACAAAGCATTTGGAAGTTGATTATCACTATGTTCGAGAGAAGGTCGTTCGTCGTGAATTACAGGTTAATTATATTTTGCTCGCAGGATCAGCTCGCTGATATCTTTACCAAGGGCTTGTCTTCGTCTCGCTTCACATTATTAGTGTCCAAGCTACCCGTTGTTTCCCCACCTGTTCGCTTGCGGGGGGGGGGGGTGTTAGACGAAGTCATGATCCACGTGACTCCAAACCCTAAAGAAAGGTCCACGACAGAACCTCCACCTTCTCGCTGTACAACCTGACAGAAGGAATACTTCACATGGTTTCTGGCACTTGTATTATTTATTGCATGCGTGTATTAAACTTGTATATAAACCATGCTGTCAGTATAGCAAGGGTTAAGGACATTATTATTATTTATTGCATGCTTGTAAACTTATATAAACCATGCTGCCATTGCAGGTAGGGTAGTGAGTAAGCTTGATTATTCATCAGTAAAGACCATATTCTTCAGATCAAAGGACCTACGTTTCAGGGCACCGTGAAAGTATTTGGAGGTCAATCTTGGTTATGGCCCTGGGATGATTGGAGTTTCAGTCGCCGTTCTTGTTTGCTTTTGCATCCTTTTCTTCAGTGTCTTTGCATCCTCAGTGAAGTTACTCAACTTTCAGAAAAGATGAGTCGAGGGTTCAGTTCTCTCAACTTCGTGATCTTCCCGCTTTCATAATGTTGAAACAACGATCCATCATCCATGTCATGAGTAAGAGACTAAGTTCCACTTCAAAGTTTTTGGAGAAATCAAAGCTCAAGTGGCGGAACCTTTGTTTACAATGCCATCTACTGGTCAACAAAATCACAATTTTTCCCTTCTCACTACTAGAACTCATGAGGATAGTTACAATCTATGGAGGGTGTAGAACATTTTATCAGGCTGTAGAACATAGATTATTATCCAACTGTACCTTCTATTATCGATTAGCTGTCCGATTTGGGACTATTAATGTTGAAGTTTGAGGCTTAATTACTCTTCATCTAGTTTCGGAATACTGATATCCTATCAGACAACATGACTTGATTGCTTGAGATTATGCGTCCACTGTCCAGTTGTAACCTTGTTTTGCAGCAGTATCATCAGACATTGGACGCTAAAGGACTGACCTCGGATGTTTAGGGATTTTTCTCAAGAGAGATTCGGAAAAGGAAGGTAGTCAAGCAGAAGTGAGAGGATAATAGCATGCAAGCTGCCTCCAAGCGAAGACATCATAAGGTAACACAATTTCTTTTTCGTGTTGATACTATGTTTATAGCGGTTTTGAACCCGTTTTTGTTTTACGGATAAGCATTTAGGATTTAGGGTTTCTGCTAAAGGGTTGAAATCATATACAGATTGCATGAATTAGCTAGTCAAAGATGAAAAAGATAACATTAAAACCAAATTCATAAAAACAGATGCCTAAATCTTAGCATAACTATGGCCATTAGCATACAAATGAGGCATGTTATGACAAATATACTAACAGCATCTAAGGTAATATACTTTTCTCTCTGTTTTGTTCATCTCTTGGGGAAGGTCAACAGCATAAAAAAATGCAGAAGTAAACACAGATGCTAAGCATGTGAAATCCAGCACGAATATGACGTGTGTCGAATATTAAAACTTAGGAAGTATGTACGTAGAGCTTGTAGTTCAAGCAGTTACCACATTTACCCCCGAGATAATAGGTTCAATTTCCGCTCCCTTCGCAGTTAAAGTGAGGCTGGGGACAAGATGAGTAAAAATAGGAGACAAAAACACCCTGTGTGATCATAAAATAAGGAAAAAGAACTAGGGCAGTCAACAAAAACATATATAGGAGGAATTTGTGGTGCTCCACATTCTCCACAAATTACTGGATCAACTTTAACCAACAGTAAAAAATTCATATGCATTAAGGTATTAATTTTTCATATCCCATACAATCTATCCAGTACAAGATTGAATCCAGTGTCTTATACCTTACAGTAAACCGTAGTCGATCAACTTTGTTTTGGGTTCCCAATAGCTTAAACGGACAACGAAACAAGACGTCCAAGAATTCCCAATTGGCCAAATTTTCCATCTCAGTTTGAACCAGTCCTTTCTCTGCTACAATTTCTTTCCAAACCTCTTTCTTGTCTGCCAAGGATTTCGAATACCAGAACTCATCCGAAAATGCACTTTCCTGTATTACTTCTACTCCGAATTTCTCTCCAAGAGCCGTCCAGATTTCCTTCCATGTAAAACTTGGCCCATTGATTGCATTGTATGACTGACCGTCAGTGGAATATGAGTACAAACCATCATTGGTTGCTGCCCAAATATACCGTTGCGCTACTAGCCTTGCATCCGAGCCATCGATACAAGTCTCTTCCCAACAACTTTCTGTCCCTCCAAATGCTTACACATGGTTACTTAAAACACATAAACTCCCCATAAAAGTACAAAGTCCTACAAGAACTACCAATTATCAAACCAGGCCTGTGTACCGACCAAGCTATCTTACCGGCCAGCCTTCCTTAAGCAAGTCTTCTAGGACATAGTAAAAATTGCACCCTTTATCCACTCTCGGGCAATCTTCATTGTAGTATCGAGCTTCTACTTCATCATCAAAAGGCCCTTGCAATGACACGTAATGCTTCATCCCTGTCTGGAGAGAAACATGCTGCAATGCCTTTGTTTTCAGAACAATGGAATCCAATGCATTCGACATCATAGTCTTATTCTGCTCGCAACACTCAATGCTATCCAACTGGCATTGGCTTGGCCAAGTGAGCCAAAACACGAGAGTAACATTTTGCAACAATGAAAGCCGATCTTTGGTTTCCGAAGGGTTTAGCAGATCACATTGGATGAAATGGAAGTTCGATGAACATTGATCAATGGGTAGCATGATCTCTAGCTTTCGAGCTATGCCGTAAACCTTCCATTTGGGTTTTGTGACCAGCTCTCTGGCCAGAACCTTCCCAACTAGCCCTGTGACCCCGAAAATCGCTACTACATGTTCAATCCCAACCTCTGGATTTTTAGTTTCTTCAGCTGCCATTAACACACAATTGTAAACTCTACCTTAAGCTTGAGTTTTGCACCGTCTCCTATAGGCTGGACTTCATTAAATGCTCACTTAAATTCAACAGCTCGAAGTTGTACGAGAAACTTTTATGTGTATCGGAAACATAAACTACCTACTTGATGTCCCACTGTAAAATCAATTGGTAATTTGAGACTTATAAGCTCATGCAAAGTCCATTCTTTCCACGATGTAGGATTCATACTTTCAACACGTCCTCTCAAGTGTGGCAAACTTTTCAGCCTAGCATGTGGACAACACAAATCGGGTGACTTGGAGCACATGTGGCCGTTGGACTTTACACAAGAGACAACCTGCTCTTATGCCATGAAGAAAATTGAGGTTCCAACATAAAACCAATAGGCAATAAACTTGCAATGTCTCTTCTTTTCCCGGTGTGAGATTCATACTTTCAACATCATAAACACAAACAACTTAATGTACTTTTCCACATATCATAATAAGAGTGAAGGGCACGGTTGATATGTCCCAATGAAGTATATTAATAACAAATAAATTCATCTGTTATATATAAATAGAAGAATAACGTTGTATGTCATGTTTTGAATACATTGAAAATTACTAGAAATAGTGTCATCTTCTTTTGAGGATTGCTGGCACAATTTCAAGCTTGCAATTTACGGTAGAATATAATTGGATTAGAATAGGATGCTAGGTGTATGGAAGATGAGTAACATACTTATTCAAATGGCTTACTTTTGATGAATTTTATATTAGTTTATCTTTTTGGCTTTGGCTTTGTACTGAATCCGTTGGAAGATGCCAATTCGTTCCGGCGTCAAAGCCTATTATTTGGCTAGTCAGCCGGCAGAATGTGTGTGAAACCCCACCTCCAAATTAAATGTATTTTCATTTTGTCCCTGAAACTTTATAAAAATGTGCAATTAGGTCTAATCTAATTTGGACCCTCCATCTAGATTGTCTTTCTCCCCCAAGCTGCCACGTGGCAGGCCACTAGCCCACTTACCCTCTCTCTCTTTCCCCGGTCTCTCTCTCTCAGCTCACACTTTCTCGGATCTTTCACTCTCTCAGCTTTCTATCTGTCTCTCTCCCTTCCCCGATCTACCCACTCACGTAAGCCGAGGAACACCACCACCACCACGTCGACAACACCACCACCATCACCATCGTGGACTTTCTATCTCACTCTCCCACGTCTCCATGAAGCACGGGACACCTAGAACCCACTCAAAAACCCCCGACGCACCCGTGACCTTTGAACCTAGTTTCCGGCCATCTCCGGGCCCTTTCACGATGAACTAAAGGTACCAAGTTCTCCCTCTCACCTTTATCTTCGTTTTGGCACTTAGATCGGAGGTTAAATCAATTAATTGCCGTCAACCGGAGCTCGAGAGGCTCCGGCCTTCTTCCCCAGCGAGAACATGCCTTTAAGTCCAAACCAAGGAGACCGAGCCCTTTGGGCCGAGTAAAACCTGGGCCGCAAGCCCGCTAAGTCCAACCCAATCTTTTTCCTTTTCCTTTTTATTTATTTACTTTCTTTTAAAAACCCAAAGGTTTTGGGCCAAGCTTTCAACCTAAGGCCCGTTATGACCAAACCTAAAACCCTAAAAGCTTAGTCCTTCGGGCCGTGTGAACCTAGGCCCAAACCCAGAGGCCCAGGCCCAAAAGCCCAAGCCCAAACCCGGTCTAAACCCCAGCCTAGTCGTGTGTGGGTGACAACCAGTGCCGGCATGTGAGGTGCACGCGCCACCATCCACGGCGTCGTTGGCTAATTTTTTGGGAACTTTTCCAGCGATCCACAGCGGCACGTGGTCGCCGGATCCGCCACCTTGCGGCAGCGCGTGGTCGTACCCAAGGTCCATTTTTATATTATTTGATGTCCTAAACCTGTTTATAATGTCTGTTGCCTGAAATTCTTTCATTTTAGTATAGTTTCATTAATTGTACCCTTTATGTGCTTAAGTGCAATTACTAGCAGCGATTCCATTATCCCTATTTCATACGGCTCTACTATGACGGAGTACTTGTGAAAGGACCCCCTCTAAAATGCATGTTTTAATAGTAGAAATGCATACATGAAAAACATGATTTAATGATTACGTTTTATGAGATATTATGCTTACTCAGAATACTTTGGAATACCATATTTTCTATTGAACCCATGTTCTTGTAGGGTATCTGATGGATGACGATATACTATTTGGAACATGTTTTCACACACTTCTTTATAGTATAGATGATGGATGACTTTATACTATGAAGACGTTTTTGAGATATATGTAAATATGTTTGGAAAGATTATGTTCAATGTTTTTGTGCATATCTAGTGGTCATTATTCCGCCAGGGGCAAGGATTTGGTGCTGGCATGTGGGCCGGGAGAAATAATCCCTGGCTTCGGGTAGAGGGACATGAAGCTGGCAAGAGGCCTGGAGAAATAATCTCTGGCTTCGGGTCGAGAGACATGGAGCTGGCAATGGGCCGGGAGGTATTATTATTTGATACCATTGTTTAGCACATTATATACGAGATATGCTTTCCGAGATGTTTTATGACATGCTAGGGTTTTCGGAAAACCTACCACTTATTATGCTATTAGTTTTCATAAAGTTTTGGGGGTTAGTATGTTGATAATTGTTTTCTTATATATATATATATATATATATATATATATATATATATATATATATATATATCAACTTGGTCCACTCATGTTTATTTTGCGTCCCCTCAGGACCTAAGTATGAAGAGTTATGAGGCATTCCCCTACTAGTGACATCGTGCTATATTCTCTCTGCTTTGGCATCTATTGTAATAGCACTTTTCTATCTTACATTCCACTGGTACTTTGTATTAGTGTATGCTCTGAACATGTCATGCATTGGCAGTTGAATATTGTTATTGCGATAGTACTCTACTACTGCATGAATAGTCGCATTATATTATCTTACTAAAATTTAAGTGCATGTTTCACATGTTCTTAGCATTTGCATTCATAAATGGCTTCTTCATCTTCGGGTGTTGGCCAGCATGTGACCATCGCGATGTCTGTGGGACATCGAGATCGAGGCGTGCCAATGTGACCCTTGCTGTTGTATTGCTAGCTCTATGGTTACATTTTTTTTAAATTTTTTTTAGTACAACGATATTTATTTACAGTAAGGGGAGGGGGAGTTCGATTAAGCCACACAATGGGCAACCTAATTTGGTATTGAATTCGTCATTCACAAGTTCAAACCTAAGACCTCTCACTTACAAGTGAAGAGGAATAACACCAGACCGTAGTACAAAGTTGTTGGTTACATTATTACGTTAAATACAATTTTGAGTGGTTTTGTGGTATTTAAGCTATCCATATATGTGGGGCGGATCATTTTATTGGTAGAGCACTTAGTTTGTATTTACAATAAGAGTTTTAGTTTGTATTTACAATAAGAGTTTGACTTTTGTTTGAGAAAAAAAAAAGTTCAACTTTCACTCTTGAATTTCCAACGGCTACAAAGATGTTTTTGCGATATTCTCTTTTAATATGGCTACTGTGGAAGCAAAATGTATCAAAGAGGTTCATAAGCAAGGTAGATAGCTAAAAGAGCAATTAGCCATTTTGATGTGAGGTTTCATCTTTGCCCTTGGAAGGAAAAATTCGTAAATTCACCATTGTATACAAGAACAAAGTTAAGTACAAAATGTGCAAGTGATAACTAAAATCCAAACTTTGTTTTATTCACTATAATCTTTTAAAAAACTTTCTTCATCGATGGTTTAAATTTGTTTTTGTTTAAACTATATGGTGGAACCAGAACTTGAGGATTGTTGACAATAGCCAACTCAAGTGTTAGGTCTTTCATAGTACGTCGGAAATAGTGTGTGATACTAATATATTGACTTATATAGGAATTAAATCACACTCATCTGAACTACAATAAAATGCCTTAGGCAAGTTAATTGTTTGATCAAATAACTTTGTAAGTGATAACTCAATTTATATATAGCATGTATTATAATTAGTTGGTGCTATGAAGAGAAGGTTGTTTGGAAACACAAGAATAAAGCATATACCATTCCCTTGTTGGGAAGCAATCTTCATAAGTGGTAGCAAAGTTAGAACATGCACAAAATTGGTAGGACATGTCACATGCACTAGAATAAAAACATAAAATTAATGAAAATTTGTTTTCATTTTTTCTTTCTTCACATTTTAATTATTTATAATTTTTAAACTGGAAAAAGAAAAATTAGGGACAAAAATAAATAGGAATGTACATAAATTATTTTCTAACTAAATGACTTGAAAGTTGATGATTGAATAATTACTTAAGTATTGATTAACATGCTTATTTTTTATTGGTGACATATAATTTAGTTTGCAAATTTAGTTTACATGTTTAGTCTATCTAGCAAAATGCTAAAGGGAACTCTCTCAAAAGTGGATTATCCATGGACTCTTTAACACCTCACAGTTTAACTTGAATTTATGTGCCAACAATATAAAATGTTGTGCAAAAGTGAAGTTGAACTCCAAAGAATTTTTATTTCCATGATATTATTATAATTGAAAAATTCAGCTGCATTTCCTCTGCTTAACATCAAGCTCATGCAATTTGCCACTAGTTTAACCAAAATGAAGCAAAAACCTTATTAAATAGACATGAGAGCAGAAGTCATATACAAACATCTGAGAGGAAAACTTCGCCTTCATGTCCAAGTGCAGAGTCCACACTATGAATTTATTACCAATGGAAACAAATGAATCAAAATCTCTTGATTTGGGATTCCATGATATTCAAGCAAACAAGATTCCAGAGGATGGTTCATGCACTGTTCCCAAATTGCCCACAATTGTCTCATCTGTCATGAAAATCCATAATATACTTATTAGTGTAATGAAATTACCAGCTTAAAACTTTCTTTTACACTCATGTTTTATCCTTTAGCATGAGGTGTAAACGGAGGCAAAAGTCACTACGTACTTTTTTTTTCTTTTTTTTTAATTTTATGAAAAATGCTAGGGATATTATCTTTTTAGATCATATGTTGTAACAATATGATATGGTGGTTGATGATTAAACTCTTTTTATAATGATTTAAAGAAAGAATTCAATCACCAACCGTCACATCATGTGGCCTGCAAAATATGATCTAAAAAGATACTCTCTGTCATCTTTTAAGTGCATTAGAACAATAGCCACGTACTCATGGGAATTTTGTCAACAAAAAAGCATGCGGCAATAACAACGTAGCATAGGAAAAGAATGACTCCTTTCATATAATGTGAAGTTCCATCCTGGAAAATAAGATAAAAATTTAAATTTTTTAGCCAAAAATAAAATTAAGAACAAGAGAATGTATTTTCATTACTACTAATTTACATAATCCCCACCAAAACGTGAAAACTATATAGAGGCCAAGATTTAGGAGGAAACCTGCAATGTGAAGGCTGTGATGATTATAGTGAAAGCAAGAGAACCAGTTTCAAGGAGACTGAAATCAAGGTCCATTTGGATGCCCATTATCCATGCAACAATCACACTTAAAGGGACCTGAAAAATGACAGGAAAACTGATGATGTTTTACCGCAATGGCTAAAAGCAATCATGTTTATGCACTCTAGTGCGAGGTCGATTCCCATTGATCCCCTTCTTCCATGACTACTAATAATTTAACCTACTAAGTGTATCGTTTGTCAAAAAAAAAAAAGGAAATGACATGGAAAATTTGGTTTCTCAGGAAAAGTTCGAAGAAATATTTTTCTCAATTTTGTGCCTATGTTTACTTAAATTAATCTTACCACAAACATAGAAATTTGGGATGCAGAACCTAAAGCAACTCCCAAAGATATATCCTGCATAAAAATAAAAAATTGGTATTCAGATTAATTTCATAACAAAATAATATGTAAAAGAAGATTATGAGTGATGTTTTATTGAAATTTTTCTTTTTAATTTTTAGGTGTAACTTACCAACTTGTTCTTGAGAGCAAAAATTATGGAACCAGCATGTTCAGCAGCATTCCCAACAATTGGTAGCAAAATAATGCTGATGAAGTTCACAGAAATTCCCCAAGAATTTGATGCAGCCTAATTGAGTTAAAATGCATATGATTAGGGATTTATTGAGAAACTAATTCTTCAAAATTAATTATTACGGAATTTTAACCGAAATTATGAATATCTAATCAAGTTTAGTGTTCTTATAATAATGATCATGTCTGTCGATACATATGTATATACCTCGATTGTACCCACAACATACTCAGACAAGAGAGCTATGATAATTGTCATACCAACCAGCCAACTGAATGCACTCCAAAACCCTATCACGGCTTTTTCTCCGTCTTCATCTTCATCTTCCTGCTTATATATTGCATTGGAACAAGTTACAGTCACTAGCCAATATTACAAAAGAACGAACGAAATCCCCTCAATATGTAGGATTTTAGGGCCTGTTTGTGCATTTATAGAGACTAAAAGCACTTACGACAATGGCACTTGTTGATTACAAAACCACTTCATGGAGCATTTTTATATGTTTTTTTTTCTTTTTTGAGCAATAGCTTAGATTTGTGATATAAGATTTTTTTTCTTGTTTCTAACAAAAGCGCTTATCAGTGTGCATCCCACACAATAAGCACTTACTAAAAGTGCCTTTATTAAAAAAAATTGAATTTTTAATAAAAATACAAGAGTTTTGTGGGAAAACACTTGAAAGTGCTTCCTAAAGATTGTCAATTGCTTACAAATTTTTTTGGTTATTTGAAACTGCTTAGTCATTCTAAAAGTATCTCCAAACAATAAGTATAAAATATGAAAATAGAAAACTCTTTAAGATCACTCCACTCTCTCTAGACAACGGATTTTTTCTTTGACGTGTGCGTATCCTACTCTCATCTATTTATGTTAATTATTGATAATTACTGCACAGTACTAATCACCTCTTGTGACTCAAACAATTGCCGGTGGGTTTTTAACTGGAAGAAGATATAGGCAACATATGCTATGAGCATAAAAATGCTGCTTGTTCTTGACAACTGAAGAGTGTCGATGGCAAAGGGGTTGCCCAACCCTGAGGCATATCGGAACATCAGTGGCAGCATGTGGCATAGTAAACCCAGCAATAAAAGTAGTGAATTCACATCAGCCTGCTTCTGTTAAATCCAAAAAACAAAATGAATTTAACAAAAATTCTTCCATTAAATGGTTTTCTAAATTGTTGAATTAAAAGGGTTAATTTGTTGATAATTAAAGTTTGGATCAATTAATAATGATTAATATTTCTTACTCTGTCATATCTTTGTTCTTTTTTCAGGTTGGCCAAGCCTCCAAAGAGAAGAGAGGTCCCAAGAACAAGGAGGAGGTTTGAGAGAATGGAACCCAAAAGGGAGTATTTCACAACATGTATTTTGTTTTGGCGAAGAGCAAAGAATGCTATGATCATCTCTGTTGCATTTCCACATGTTGCATTGAGAAGTCCTCCAACTGCAAATTAAATCTAAACTAATCAACCCCAACAACACACACACACACACACACACATATATATATAGCATCAGTTCACACTGATTAAATATTGTTTAGCAATAATAACTGGACATTCTAATTAGAAGTGAGATCAATATACCTGTTGGACCAGTGAAGTAAGCAATTTGCCTGAATTGTTTAATGTTTTTTAGTAGACAGAATTGGAGGATAAAAAACCAATGTTAGAACTTTGTGTACATATATATATGTTTGTTTCATAAGAGAGCTGCTATTTGTACTCTGAAAAGTTCATCATAAGCTCTTTTTTAACGAAAAAGTATACGAAGTAAGATGATTTTTTCAGAGTACTAATAACAGTTTCATTTTATAAAAATACTACTTTCTAATTAGCAAAACTGCTTACTCAGTGAGGAAGCTGACACGTTCAGCAAGTGGGGTGAGTCCGAGCAAACTCAAAGCAAAAATCCAAGGCTACATTGCACAAGAAGAACAAATATAAATGATCACAAAAAAAAAAAAAAAACTATTTAATTAACAAAACAAAGAAAAATTTCATTTTTCTGATTACTTTTTTCAGATTAATTAATTAAATGAGATCATGCACTTACTCTCCCAAAGTGATAGAAGTCAGCCAGAATTGCAAGGGGGATGGCTGGGAAGAGCACTGCAAGCTTGGTGCCAAGAACAACCTCATGCAAATTGTTGAGCATATTTCTAAGCATTTGGAATCGAACATTCGAAACAAGAATCGGGTCGGATTTTTTTCGTACAATCGAAGCTGACAAGTTTTGTGGCGTCTTTGATCCGTTAATCTCCTTATTATTTCCTAAACCCTTGTTATAATTACTAATCCCATTCTCTATGTTGTTCAAAGCCTCCTGGGATTCTTCCATGATAGATATGTCGATCAAAACAAAACCCTAAACCCTTCCACTTTCTCCACTGCGAATGAATGAAGTATTTAGAGGGTTGATGAACAGAAAATGTAGTCTCTCTCTTTCTCTGTTTGTTAAGAAACAAAGGGTTTTGCATATGTAAATATAGGATATGGCAGCTTCCTGGAATTTTCTCAGTTTGTTTATATTCATGCATGAGTCTCCACGTACTTAAAAAAGACTGAATTCTCTCAGGAGTTACAAGCGGTGGAAGGTTGACTACAAAATAAAGTAATTAATACCTGTTAAAGAACACAGATAGGCACGCATATTCATCCATATAAGGCTGTTACAAACAAATAATAATTAAATATTCTAAATAAAAGGGAAATTATTTATGCACATTTTAGCAGTGGTGGATCCGGGAAATATTATTGAAAGGTCAATATGATAAGCGAGCATCGCACAAAATTTTTTTGAACGGAGGAATATGCAAATTGGTATTTCATTGAGCTTTGGTAAGCCTGAGATCATTTGCAAAGTCATAATGCACACCTTTCGACTGATTTCAATAGTTTTTTAGGGAGCATGCCGACTAATATAAACAGCTTTTGATTAGCCTATCAAAAGATGCCCATTGCAATGCATACAAAGACATAAGACTAGCAGCTATTCTGTCCAGTGCCTATAAAAGCAATTCGTTTTAATTGAATGATAGCTTTCAACAACATCTCAGATTTTGGTTATATTTCCAGCTAGCATAAACGCTCTTCCTACCAAGAAAAATTCGAACTTACCATTTTACCTATACAAAATGAAAAATAAAATAAAAATAAATAAAATTGTTCAATCATACACACAACCATGGTATTTTTTTATTTATAATTAAGGTAGATGATTGTGGCAGAGTACAGGAGTTAGATTTGGTTTTTTTTTTTTTTTAATTTGTAGTAGTGTTTCTGTAGGGGCAAAATGGGAAGTTTGATGCTGGGATGAATCAACTTGCAAAAATTCCAACGGGATCCTCTCCGAATCCTTTTGGTGAGGATCTTGGGGTTCGTGAATCATATTCGTTTATCGTAAATTGTACGGTTAGTTTTTTTTTCAAGTAGTGTTTGTATTTAATTTTAAATAAAAATATTTAAAATAATTTCTGACCGCACGATGTACGATGAACAGACATGATTGACAGATCCTTGAGATCCTCACAAAGAGAATCCGACAAGGATCCGAGTTCACAAAAATTCATTGTTGATAAGTAATGAAAGTTTCACAATAATACTTTCAGGGCTAAATGATTTTTTATTTTGAGTGAATTTGTACAAATTTAATTAAATAATGGCCTGAAAATAATTGTTCAGATCATGAAATTACTTTGTGGAACGGATCTAAATGAATGGTGCTGTTCTGGAAATTATTTTTCTCACTGTCAATGTATTACTTATGTTTGGACAAAAAAAATGTATTACTTATGTTTGTGAATCATCCATTAACACTTGTAGAGCACTGCATGCATGCTCTATCCTCTTACAGATCAAAACCCACACCTACCCAGTAGTCACTCAGTGACACGGACACACACATAGTAATTAAGAATTTAATTCTCTTTCGGGTGTTGCATTTCACTGAAAGCACTGTGTCATTGGTTATAATTAGCTCCAATATATATCAGTATGCTCCATGGAAGCAGTGAGGGGAGAGCTCTCTCCTCGAGAGGGTAATGGCAGCAACAATCTGCATGTACGTATCTGTCGTACTCAATAGTCCGAACTTTCGTGGAATTTTCAAGCCTTCCTCGGAAGAGAATCAAACGGTTGTTATGTCTTACAGTTTGATCAAACAAAAAAAGGTTAAAAAAACCATAAACTGACATAAATTTACAATACTGGTCACTTATTCGACGAAACAAAGTATTTGACGAAGTTTCCTGAAAAACATACCCTCATTTTCTTCGTCTCCTTGCACTTCAAGATATGGAAATTGTGATCTGTATGAAAAAGAAACCCTGTTGGATACGTTTTGTCTATTATTGTCATTTGTTGATATGTTACGACAACTAATTTTTAGTTAGGATTGTTTGAGGACTCGTTACAATACATGCATTTATTCGATATATTCACCATCTAATGATTAAATACAGTTACATGCATATACGATATTCTCTTATTTTAGTTGCATATTTGACCATTAGTGAATATATTAAGTAAATGCATGTCCTGTGTGTAATTTTGTCCTATAAACTTCAATTTTTCGCTATAAGACGTTATTTCACTCGTTTGTGTCACTATTAGAATGCATTATTCATGTCATTTTACTTTACATGTCCATAATGCCCCTGCATGTCTTCTGAAGAATATCATAGTATCTCTAGCTTAAAGTAAAAAAAAAAGGCTTCTTCTAAACTTGAGTACGTGACTAGATGGTAAAAAGATGACTATTGGGCAAGTTGCACACACGAATATATACACAAGTATCGAAACCAACCTATACATGTATTTGTAGATGATTGCACAAGAAGTTACATATTTTCATAATCATTCATATGATATAGGGGTACGCCTGGGCTTGATGTTGTGGCAATGTGAGTTGATTCTGTGTGATGGTGTCGGTTGAGTAGTGGCGATTTTGGGCACGTGCAATATGTGCCTTTACACTTGGCCCTCAATCCTAAGGGGTTCCTAAAAGATAATATCATCCACATATGTACGAGTTTGGTTTATGGCTAAAAAAAGCTTCATCTTTAGAAAAATTTATAGATTATGCATGTGAATAAGAGAAATATGGCCTCCATATGCATAAGAGAAATCAGTTTTATGGTTTTAGCTTGGTTATACCAACTATGCTCTAAGTATTGTTTTTATTTATTTATTTCATGATTTTTGTTCATTTAACTATAACTCAAGCAATAATACTCTATTTAGATCCCTTATTACTACAACTATAGATATATAAATTAGCTTTGTAGCATGAGCTCTATACAAGGGCTCATTTATTATCTTTCGCACAATGCTTCTAAAATATCAAAGTCAGCCCTACAATTGGGTAAGAAGATAAGTTAATTGAAAAAATATCTTTCTTATTGATTATAACTCGGAACTTTTACACCAAACCAAAAAAGAAAAACAAGCATGGGAAAATTTGATTTAAGAACAAAGGGAAAGAAAAACAAAAGTTGCAATATGTGGCATTAATAGAAATAACAAAACTTGTAACCGAATAACCGAATAATGAAATAACAAAAACTAGTGTGGTAAAGCATGATTCACAAAAATAAAGGGGGCAATAAACATGAAGTTTCATAAATTTTTAGGGTCGGTTTTGAGAATCTCAAACTTTTGCGTTTAATAGCTTCAAGAACAGAGGCACCAAAACGCAGAGCAGAAGCAAGCCCTAGCTCACGAAATGGCCGAGAAATTGGCACCGGAGAAGCGCCATAGCTTCGTTCACAATGGTAAATCTTTCTCCTTTTCCAATTTTCACGTTTGATTTTGGTTTTCCGCGACTGAATTTTGTGTTCGGATTTAAATTTTAGGTCAGAAAGTGTTTGAATGGGATCAAACCCTAGAGGAGGTAAATATGTACATAAGTTTACCCCTAAATGTTCCTTCAAAGCATTTTTTCTGCAAAATTCAGTCGAAACACGTTGAAGTCGGCATCAAAGGCAATCCTCCGTACCTCAATGTGAGTAAATTCAATGTAATTTGATCCATTTTCGTGAAAAGATTGAAGCTTTTGCTATTCGGTTTAAACCGGTGCGTTTTTCGGTTTCGGGTCTACAGCATGACCTTACTTGCCCGGTGAAGACGGACTGTTCTTTCTGGACACTAGGTATTTAGTGTTTAGTTTTCAATTTTCATAGTTTCTCTAATTTTGGTAATTTTGGATATTTTATACTGATTTTGTTATTAATTATATGTTAGAGGATGATATAATGCACATAACACTGCAAAAGAGGGACAAAGGTCAGACATGGGCATCACCTATAGTGGGCGAGGGTCAGCTCGATCCTTACTCCACGGATCTTGAACAGAAGCGCCTTATGCTGCAGAGATTTCAAGAAGAGGTGAATTACTCTTATGCATCTTATTCTCACTGTATGCATTTATGTATTACTGTTTGAATTCGTGAAATGAATGTGTTGCTAGTTTATTATGTTGGTGTTCCTTGTGGTCTGTGAGATACTCTAGCGACAGCGTTTCTTTAATATCAAGGAGATTGATTTTGAAAAATGAACAGGATTTTGGATGCATACAAAATGTAATTGCGAGGTAATTGATAATAGGAGATGCAAAGTTCAGCATTGTGTTGTTGTGCCTTATGTTCCATGATTACAGGGTTTTCTTGCTACTAATTGGTCTATACTTTTACTAGGCTTTCGTAGATTAGCATGTGGCGTTTTTATTGTTGATTGTACCCAAAAATTCACATGATGAATTTTACTCGTAAGAAAGAATGGAGAATGTTTTAGACACAATTTTACCTGTATACAATAGTTTTTTCACTAACAAGACGATTAGCTTGATTTTTTATCAAGATTAAATGCTGATGCAAAAATGAGACAACGAAGATGAAAAAATGTTGATGCGGGATCTGAGTAACTTTATGTACTTCAACTTAGTTTAATTCTAGTTACCTTAACTAGGACTCTACCCATGACACTGACTTTGATTATTAAATTGCTAAGAAAATCAATGTTTTCTGGTTGTCTACCGATCATATGAACCTCAACCAAATTTGCTCTTTGATGAATTTTCTGATAATATAGCTAGTGTTTCTTTGGTCCTCTGCAGAACCCGGGGTTTGATTTCTCACACGCCCAGTTCACCGGAGGCTGCCCTGATCCAAGGACCTTTATGGGCGGTATCCGCTCTGATTGACGAGTTTGCTGCATTAGTTACCTTTATCTGGTATGAAATCCTGACCAACATCTAGTAAATAAGACAACTTGATTAGCTGGCCAACTTGGCTTCCTGTGGTCCCTGTAAGAACTTCAGTACTGCTTACAATTTGTTCTTTTTTATTTTCAACATCTTGTCTATAACTGTAAAGTTAAAAATCTAGAATTTACGTAAGTTATCTTCCAGTGTTTGCTTCCCTACTTTCCGGCAATGGCACGGCCAAATAAATCTCTTATTTTTTTATGAAGTATGATGTGAAGCTTTGAACTATGATGCGAGAAATAGAAATTAGGAAGTATCTTGATAAACATGCTGTCAGTATTAGGTCTTCCATTTTCTTAATTCCTTGTGAATATCTAGCACCGAATACTCGAGGAACTTAGAATATGATTTCTTGCTGCACATGCCAACATTTGAGACCATATAGTAACTTGCTCCCATCTTGCTCTGTTCTGAAAATTAAAGTTAGCAACATACGAATGTTTCACATTTTGTTTGGCAGGTTCTGACACCCCCGATCCCGATATCCTTCAAACACCAGGATGGGCACGTGCCAGGCGACACCCAAAGGTAACGAATCCATTTTAACATGCATGTTAGTTATGAAGAAAAGAACAAACGAAACTAAAATATGTAACTTTAAATATAATGAAAATGTAGCCTCCGAATCAATTAATACACGAGCCCAGCAGTCAAAAGCAAATAACATACCAGTGATCACTCTAGGCTCCTGCTTTGCCTCCTACCGTGTCAATAGCATTTAATGCGTCCTGCAACTTGTCCCGAATTGCTACTACGACCTCTTTGAGTGCGAACACCTTGATTACCCCGGCTGACACACCCGATCCTAGATATCCAATGACACTTGGATGACATGTGTTGGCCGCTACTCGAGAGTGACGATAGCCATGACTACATGAATTTGCGAGGACAAGAGGGAACAAGTAATCCAAAATCATGCGACAAACAATAATCACAAAGAATATACAAACACTAAGAGGCAATAACAGTACTCCAAATTAAACATGAACGAAACAATGTCCAACGGCCACAAATTCGAAATAAAAAGATGTACGAATATGTTCAGAGCATACCACTAAACAGAAGTACAAGTGAAAGGTAAGACATCAAGTTACAATTATTCATAAAGAAAGTCATACGCAAGTGGAAAAACGCGGGATCATTGGTAGGAAATTGCCTTGATGCTCGGGCCGTATTCCTCGTCACTATATCCTAAAGGGGGCACAAAAATAAATGGTGAGTGGACCATAATTTATATTAATACCAATAATAGTAAAAATTGATTTCTTTTTTAACATATTAACCTCTTGTTTTGAAAACGTATAATATAATACTACATAGTATGTTTTCTGAAAAAACCTTGCATGCCATGAAACCATTGTAAATTATGTACGTATAAAACAATGCTCAATAATGGTGATATAGTTGCCCGAAGGCAAATCCATAAAACGTCCGTAAATTACATCAATGATGTACTTAACTAGGGGTATCATAGCCGCCCGAAAGCATAACCATCACTCGAAGGTGAAGTTGTACAACACTGGTTATTATGCCAGTGAAGAAATATAGTGGGTTCATCACCTGAAGGTGAGGTTGTATGACACTGGGTTACACCAGTGAAGAAATATAGTGGATCTATCACCCGAATGTAAAGTTGTACGACACTAGGTTACGACATTGAAGAAATATAGTGAGTCCATCACTCGAAGGTGAAGCCGTACAACTCTGGGTTACGCCAGAGAAGAAACATATACATATAACATAACACACCGACACTAGCCGTGGCTAGTGAAGTTGTCCGACACTGGTTTCGCCAGTGAAGTTGAGAGTATGTCATAAATTTCATCACTTGTGTCCTATGACCATAAGCGTCTATATACTTGTGATGTGTGTATGATAGCCCACTAGATACGCACCGAAAACGTATCTCAAAAACTCATATATCAAATTATCGGAGTCAAAAGCTCAGAGCTTCATCTCATAATTCCATAAACGTGATTTCTATAAACATGCCATTTTATAAACCGTAAATAGATAAACCATAAATATTTCATAAAAGCAATTTAAATAAATCATAAATTCTCCTTAAACCATAAATATAGAAATCCCTAAAATATAATATAAAACATACTCAATTCATGAAACATGAAATGCATGCAAGCTTAATATTTTATAAAGACATGCAATTTGAGAAGGGGTTCACTAACAAATATTCCACTACTGGGGAACTGCTCGAACAAGGAAGGACGGTGTCGTTTCCAACCGACGCACCTAAATCAAATAGAGAACATTTAATAAAACTCTATTAAAACGATAGAATTTGAGAAAATGAATAACGAATTCGGATTTGGCATGTCGAAAAACCTAGGGAGAGACCTAAGGTTTTCCTCACGCACCACCACGGTGCTACGGCCCTGGAGGCCATGTGCCATCGCACGCACTGCCACACGTCGAGATGAGTAAAAAATTTAGTGGGAAACTACGAACGATCCCAGCCACCTATCGGCCAATGATATGGAGCACTTTTCGGAGTATCTTTTAAGATTATTTTTTGAGTCCTCAGTATAAAGCAAGTACGAGACAAGAATTCTATACACTTCACCAAGGCAACATGTCAGTGACAGAGCTTTATTGTACTCAAGGGCGGAGCCAAGATTTTTTTCTTGGGTGGGCTAGTTGAAAATAGTACCATAAAATCATATGTTTATTTTTTTGCTTATATAAAATATATAATAATCAATATAAAAGAACAACAATATAATATAAACTATTCTCAAAATTATAACCCTAACCGATAAATTCAAGGACCATATAAATAATTAACCTACTAATTAAATCAAGAACAAGTAAATAAAGAGATTAAGAACGTACCAAAGGTGACATTCATTGAAAAATTGCAACGGAAAGTCAGGAATTGCAGAGATAGGGATTTAATTGTGTATTTAAAGAACTTATTAATCTTTTCTTGAGTAAGAAGCACAGAGGCTAAATTACATAGGGTAAATGGTCGTTTTCTTTAAAGAATAGAGTAAAGGGGGACTGGAGATAAAACTAATTTATAATTTTTAGCATAAAACTATTATTTATTACCTCTCCTCTACTAAATATACATTAAATAATAATATGTATTGAAATTGAGTAGGCTATAAGCATGAGTTTACAAAAGAATAGATCTATTCACAAACCCATTTTTACTTGCAACACAGCCTTATTAATATTTTGTCAGTGATCATTTTCAATTCATTCGATCTAAAGAACCGACAATTAAGAGAAGTGTGTAAGAAGTAAAAATAAGTACACAAATAACACTACCCTTATAGAAAACCTCCCTGGGCTACAACCCACCTTAGCCTTGTGGGTGGCTACGCCATTGATTGTACTTTTCGACGATTGGTGAGACATGTTCCCTCTGTTTATGGGCACCCACAAGAAATGATGAACCAACTTGAGATTGCTTTGAGCATAATTCCTATGAGAGTATGATCAGAGCAGCTTTGAGAGTGAAGCAGTCACTTTCGAATCGCAGCAATCAGAATCCGCTTCGGAAGTCAGTTTACTCGAGGTCGAGGTTGATCTCGAAGCACCAGGGAATGTTATTCATCTTCTACTATTGGCCCTAGACACTCACTTTCAAGAGTCGTGGTCAGGGTTTAGGATCTTATAGTGAAAGATCGGGTAATGAGTCGTCGAGACAGTATTTTAGTCATTTCACACCAGCCGCTCCGATTTGTATGCGCTGTGGTAGATGTCATTAGGGAGATTGTGTTGTAGGGAGTGATTCATGCTTTAGGTGTGGAGGCACTGGACACTATGCTCATGATTGTCTTATTGGTCGACCAGCAGAGTATTGTATCTGGTTCGGGTTATGGAGGAGGTAGTAGCTCGGGTACTTAGAATCAAAGCCAAGAACATCATAAGAGTTCATAAATAGCTTATAGCAGTCTTGCTCAAGGTAACCGTGCAGGCTGGGGTAATCAGGGTATTCGCACTCGAGGAGGTCGTAGTAGCAGTTCGGGACAACAAGTTAAAGGACATATTAATGCTATGACACACTAGGAGGCAGAGCAGGACCCCAAATTGATCACTGGTATGTTATTGCTTTTGACCGTTGGGCTTATGTTTTAATTGATCCGGGGGCTACATTTTCATTATATTTAACCTTACATATTTTAATTACGTCCATTCTTTTCTTCATAACTTACATGCATGTTAAAATTGCTTCGTCATCTTCGGGTGTCGGCCGGCACGTGCCCACCCTAGTGTCTGGAGGATATCAGAATCGGGCCGTGTTAGGTTCTAAAATAAAGATGAACTGGTCAGGTTTCAAAATCATGTACCTTTCTATAAAGCGACCACAGAAACAAAAAATGTAACACCGTTTCTTTGAATCAATTTAAAAGAGTGGCCTGAAAAGGATGTAGGCCGCTTTATTTTATTTGGGTCTTGCAATTTGTAATATAATATGCCATTTTAGAGGGTTGTAAATGAAATGGAATCACATTCCCAGGCATCGCCATTGGACAATAGCTATTTTTTATTTTATTTCGTGATATTGGAGGAGGGGGGAATCGAACTTGAAACGTTGGGTGCACGGGGTCAATGCTCGTAACCGTGTTATAAGCCCTGTGTTGTTGGATAGTAGCGGTTAGCAGTGGTGCGTTTGTAGAAGTACAACAAAAACCTGATGGATATTCTGTTGTGTCAACTGCTTTAGGTAGTGAATTGCGGAACTTCACACTTTCATTTACTCCATATACATTCCTCTCCTTGTTCGTATGCTTTGATTCTCCGTTTTTTGGCTTAACCACCAGAGCATAACGTTGAGAAGACGGAGTGCAATTGGAGAAAATGAGGGTGTGAAAATCGTCACTCCTTCCTTATGCTCTGTTTGGCTAGTTACTTGGTTACCTTTGCCTTTTGGTCTGTTTTTTCTTTATGGTTCTGATAACCTATCTCATCTTCCGGAACGGGGACTGTAGCTCCGGAGCTTGTGTTTGGTGTGTACTCATGTTTGTGGATATGTAGTATTGAAAACTCTTGTCAAATGTCCAAAGAGTAGGCTAGTGCTCACATGTTATTCTTTACGGAACAATAAAAATGACAATCCTAAACCGACAAGACTTTCCTTGTGAGGGTTAGGGAAGTACGTCTATCGTATGCACTCTTACTCTTACTTTGCGAAGAGATTGTTTCCACAGCTTGAACCCATAACCTTTTAGTCACAAATGAGCAATATTTTTGCTACGCTAATGCTTGACCTCGTTTTACAAAACAAGTCGTCTATTTATTTATGGTCTCATCATATCCTTTTTGAAACTACATTTGGTTACTTTTTTTTTTTTGATAAACCATTTGGTTTTTTTTTTTTTTGTCAATATTTGGTTACTTATTCTTGGTAGTGTATATTGTTTTTTTATTTTTTGGAATTTTGAATTCTCACAATTTTAGATGTCGGATTTGATTTAGGTAAAAGCCAAAGTTTGAGATTTTATTTTTTATTTTGGAATCAAAAGTTCAATTTCGCATCCAATTTGCACTGCGTGGCTATGTTCTAGTTCATTTCAATAATTTTTGTAGTTAGACAAGATAGACTCGTACCACGTTTTCCAATCTTATGCGAAGAGATTTTGTTACACAATCAGAATATTTCTTTCTCATTAAGTTACTAGCTGATACAATAATAAAGATTCACGATAACGCTCGAAGAAATTACCATCCGCGTGGCATAGGAGATTTTGAAACAAACACAATTTTAATATAAATATTTTCTTAATGAATCTTAATAATAAATTTAGAAACTTGTTTAGTGTAATAAGAGATATTATTGTCCTCGTATTAGTTTACTAGTATTCATTTTCATTGAGATATTTTAGATTCGACTCTCGATAGGAGAATTTGAATCACATTATTTCACTCACACTTCAGAGAAATTTTTTATTATGATGGAAACATAGGTGGTACATTATGTGTTTTTATATAAGTAATTGAAAATTGTATTATTTAAGTTATTAACCTTTTAACACACATATTTCACCATTAATATAATGAGATGTATCATTTCATGTTCTAATCGTACTAAAAAAATCTCTCTCTACTTCGTGTAAATAATATCGTTTGTTAAAAAATAATTATAGTGACAATTCCCAATGGTCCTCCCCTTTCCGCAAACCAAAGTAGCAAAGACGGAGGGCCGTCAGCAGCGGTCAGCCTCCCGCAATCTCATCCTCATGCAGTATAAATCTTTACGACACCTGCACATGCAAAAATCCAAAACTTTGTCTTCTTTCCCGTCATCTCTTTATTCTCTCTCTCTCACCCATGATCCCTAAACCCACCTGCGGATCACACAATCGAATCCAAACCCGCCAAACCCCACATGGGTCGAGGCCCGAATCAATCCAATTCAGCTCCCCGGGTCCTAATCGCCGGCAACTACTGCCACGACGTTTTATTCAAAGACGGCGTCGTTTTGGCCGAGACTCCCGGCGGGGCCGCCTCCTTCATCTCCAATGTCTTCGATGGAGTTTCCGTTCCCTACAATTTGGTGTCCAAAGTCGGGTCGGACTTCGCTTACTCGGTCCCGCGTGACCCGATTGTTGTACCCGATTGCAATACCACTCTCTTCCACGCGCATTTTGATTCCGGCGTCGGCGGTGACGAACGGCGTGACCGGGTTCTGCAACGGGTAAGAGCTTGCGGCCCGATTAGGCCCTCGGATCTCCCCGGATACAGATTTGATTTCGGAATGGCTGTCGGTGTTGGCGGCGAGATCACCGTTGAGACGGTGGAGAAGTTGGTTGAGACTTGCAGCACTGTGTTTGTGGACATTCAGGCTCTGATTCGAGCTTTCGACGGAGTCGACGGGACCGTGAAGCTTGTGGGTTTGAAGGAGAGTGGCTTCTTCCACCTCTTGCCTCGAATTGGGTTTTTGAAGGCTTCGGCGGAGGAGGCGTTCTTTATGGAGGTGGAGGAGGTGAGGAAGCTCTGCTGTGTTGTGGTGACGAACGGGAGGCGTGGGTGTAAAGTTTATTGGGGAGACGGCGAGGTGGAAGTTGGGCCTTTTCCGACGCACCAGGTTGATCCGACGGGCGCAGGAGACAGTTTCCTTGGTGGGTTTGTTGCCGGACTTGTTAATGGCTTGACTGTGCCTGATGCTGCATTGCTCGGCAACCTTTTCGGGTCACTGACTGTTGGGCATATTGGATTGCCCAAGTTTGATTCCAAGTTATTGCAGGTTTGTCTCTCATTTTTCATTGCCATTGTTGTTGCTTCGGTTTTGGATTGCAGAGGACGTCTTGTTTAACAAATATCTAATTGTAGTCTCTCACCTGATGGCTTGCAGAGAGTTCGTGAAGAGGTGCAGAGGAGAAAAATGCAGTGCGGTAATTGCCGCGAAAGAAAAGATGACAGGTTTAGGTTTGTGAACATAGCAGGACATGAGCAATTTCATGCATCTCTAGGGGCAGCTAAGCAGACAACAAAGTGCCTTGCTCAGGAACCTCAATGGGATCTGCCAAGTTCTCCTCCCAAGTCAATGGAACGGGGTGTCCTCCCTCAATACGCGACACAGCCTAAATTGTTACCGGTCTCTGTCAATGAAGAACCAGTTCAAATCGTTGACACTGCCGGTAAACCATGATTCTCGACAGTGTAGCAGTAAGTTTCTTCATCCATAACCTTATGCTGGATCAAGTAATAATGTAATGTAGAAATCTATTTGCATAGGGTAGGCGGAATTGCATCATGTCGAACCCAGATGCGTGTATCTTTACTTTTTAGATCGATGTACAGTATAGAACCCCCAATGCAAAAACAAAAAACAAAAAAAATAAATAAATAAAGGGAAAAGAAGAAGTTGCTTTCTCTAAGAGAATTTTACTTCGAGTAGCAATTAGTCATGAATTTGGTGGTTTTCTTTCCAAATATCGGATCCCCTTAGAGTAAGTATCAACATGCGAGTATTTTATTTCGATTGAGAAATGGCGGAAGGTGCAAATGACCTTTTATTACAATGGTAGAAAATAGTTGAGTTCTTATATGACGATGTGGATTCGAACCCATCGATCGCTAATTTAACAAAATTTATCGTTTGACAAAAAAACAAAGATGCGGAAGGTGTAAATTGGGCCGGGCCTATCCGAGCATTATACGGGCCTGTTGGATGGAATTGTAGCCCATTAAGCTGTAGTCAGTTTGGGTTTTGGTACGTCATATAGTGCCGGCAGAATCCCATTACTGTTCAATCATGGCCGATGATTTCATTTGATTTATTTAGTTCGATGGTTAAAAATAAAAAACGTGTGTGAGAAGTTACAAATAGTGAAAATCACATCCAACTGGTGACGAACATTCACTTTTGCATATGAAGTTATCAGTCATGCATTTGACAGGTGTCCATCCACTTGAATCAAAACTTAACACAACGGAAAAGATGCATAAACCAACGTTCAACATCAGCAGCCAACGCCACCACTAGTGTCTCTGCTTTTGTAAAGTTAAAACAAAAGAAATATGCTTTTTAAAGTTTACCTAATCTAAAATTCTGGTCAAAAGGGCAATCAATATAAAGAAAATATGGTCCCAGACTCAACGGCCTCTATTTATCTCACTTACTAAGACTTAATTACTGTAGTCCCTTGAAAGATATTTTGTTCAACTTTGCCCTCTCTAAATTATTTTTTGGTCTCTAACTTTATCTGCCGCTGTTAAAGTCGTTAACTAATCCAATAAGTGTGTTAATGTGACCAGAGTTTTGAAATTGATATCGCAAAAGTGCATAGAATATTGAAGCTAATCTTGTAAAGGCGCATGACTTTGAAACTGATTTTTTAAAATTGAAGAATTAATGTTTACAAATTTAAAATCAGTTGAAAATTTTGTACACAGTGAAATTTTAGAATTTTAATTTACTTGTTTTTGAAGGAGGATTCTCTCTTATTATATCTCCTCCTATTGAATGGTTACGATTAAGTCACATCAATATTTTATATTGAAATTTTTTTTTATAAAAACAATAAGATAAAAAAACAAAGTGTGAGAGGATAGTGTTCGATTCTCATCAGCTCCCTAATAATAACACTTTTTTTTAACCAACTATATTATCTACACTTTAGGGAAAATGGTGGACTTAGACTCATAATGAGTTAGCAATAATGTGGTTCAAACTAGCATTTGGCGAGAATTGAACCTAACACCTCTCATGTACAAGTGAAGAGGAATACCACTGAACCGTAATACTAAATGACACTTAACCTAACATTTCTATCGTTTAACCAAAAAAAAAGAAGTTACTTAGTATTACGGTCTAGTGGTATTATTTTTCACTTGTACCTGAGAGGTTTCAGGTTCGATTCTCGCCAAAAACGAATTTGAACCACATTATTATTAACCCAATGTGAAACTAAGCTCAATCTCTTCATCTTACTGTAAATAATATCATTTGTTCAAAAAACAAAGGAAAAGAAAAGGAATGAGAATATAAAAATAAAGGAAAAGGAATGAGAATCAATAAAAAAAAAGAGGAGGAAAATGAATGAGAATAAGAAGGGAAAGAATCTTACTAATTTGTTTTTGATATGCCCGGGCCCCACAGATTCCCCGATAATGGACAAGGATTGTTTGCCTTCCTAGTTGTGGTGCCCTTCTATGCCCTTCTATTTTGTGCGGTCACGGTTAAGCCACGTCAACATTTTATATTAATTTTTTAATGAGATAATAAGATAAAAAACAATAAAAATATAAAATATTAACGTAACTTATCCGTGGTTGCACAAAATAGGAGAGCATGAAAGACCACAACTAAGAGGGCAGACAATCCTTATCCAATTGGAGTAAGTCGGATTATTTTCCTTTTGGTTCAGGGAAGTTTAAAACAGCTGTCCCCCAATACCAAAAAAAAAACAAACAAAAATATCCTTGTCAACCATTCGCCAACCCCACCCCCACAACTACCACCTCCATCTGATATTTTGAGAAATCCCCGAATTAGCCATATCCGCTTCTCTAATTCTCCAATTCTGCCCCCGCTCCGCCTCCGCAATCTAGGGTTTCTGATCTTATTCCTTGCCCACCGGCCGGTCTCAGAAACCCTAATCCTTGGATTTTCGCGTTAGGGTTTTATATCATCAGTCTCCAATCGTCGGCATCGTGACGGATTCTAGTCAAACCCTAGCTGTTTCAGCAGCGGCGATGAAGCACACAAGGAGGATAAAGAAGAGGAAGAGCTCGGCGAATCCGACGCGGGTCGCCAAGGAAGACGAAGAACAGAAGGTAATCCGCGCACTTACGGAAGTTTTCTCGTCGGTATCGCTTGACGATGCCATTTATGCGTATCGCGAAGCCGATGGCGACGCGAACAAGGCCGCGGAGATTTTGGAACGGGCGGTGGCTGAAACCGAAAGTTCTGAAGAGCCGTTCACGAGCTCTACAACGAGTGGTGGATCGGACGCGGGCTCGAGCTCGGGTTCGGGTTCGTCGGAAGGGTTCGAGTCCGGTTGTATTCAGAATTTGGTGAGCGAGAAGGGTTTTAGGGGTAAGCAGAAGAGGGTTGTGGCGGCCGCCGGAACGGTATCGACGGTTTTGGGTAAGGAGTACGTGAGCTCGATTCCCAGGAGGGGTCCAACGTTGTCAGAGATGTCGAAGCGGAAGGGTTTTGGTAATGGAGGTGCTGCAGGGGAAGAGGAAGCTGAGCAGTTTCTTTGTTCTATGCTTGGAGATGAGTCTGATCTGAGCTTGGCGGTTGTTAGAGACGTCCTTTGTAAGTATCCTCTGTTTGTTTTTATGTTTATGGTAGCGGAAGCGATGAATTAAGGATGAAATATCTTTTAGTCGTGGAAATAGGGTTTCTTGTATGACCTGAAATTTTGCTTTTGCAGGTCAGTGTGAGTATGATGTTGAAAAGGTATTAGGAGCGTTGCGAGTTAGAAAAGTTATCATCTTTTCTGTTCTCTTCTAAGTGCTGCCTTATGCCAAGGAAGATGAGTTAGTTGTGGCTAGCTTGTATAGAGTTTCTATTATGTTTCCGTCAGTGTTTAAGATGATTGCAGAACAGTCATCAGGTGTCACGGGCATTTTAGAAACTTGGTCCGAGCTAAAAGAGAACCCATAATTACACCTATAGGTTGTTGCTGTTGTAATCTGATGATTATTTATGTGCTTCTTCAGGCCTTGGATGCATTGCTTGAGGTTTCTTCTTCGTATGAACAGTCCTGTAGTAGGTCTGACTATAGTATGTTTTTTAAGGAAGATAGTAGACACCCCTTCGAACAGTCTGATGCTGTAAGTATGCTTTTTGTGTTCTTAAATGTGTGAAGATATTTGGTAAACATAATAGCGAAGGTTGTGCTCTTAGTTGTTTTCAGTGTGTGGAACATTATTTGATAGCTCTCATGCATGGTTAACCTCACATGTTTATGGTGGCATTCTCTGATTTGTTGTTACGGTGTGAGTTTATAGGTTTGTGCTTTGATGCAGGACAACCTCAATTTTGGGAGGATGTCAGTCTAGTTTGAGTCTTGTTGAATTTATGAGTTGTAAAAAGAAAGCACAGCAGATATTTGAAAGAAAGATAAAGGAAGATTATAAGGATTGAAACTACTAAGTCAGTAGTGCTGACTTCGCACCTGTAGGGTTTCTAGGAATCACTCCTAGAGGCCGTAGGCATCACACCTAGGGTTAGGTTGCATCATACAAACCTAGAGAGAAGCAAAGCTCCAGCAATTCTATTAGATCTTTAAATCTTTCGCCAGAGAGTTGGATGTAATTTATAAAGACGTAAACCTAAAATCCTTAAAGAAGAAGGAAATAATCCTTGTAGAACAAGGAAAGTAAAAGACTAATGGGCCTGCTGGAACCGGCATCCTGTATTTTTAAAACCCTAGACAGTAAAAGACTAAAACTCACTTTGCCCACATGACAGACTTTAGGGCGGCCTTCACTCTTGTTCTTCATTGCTTATGGTAGTTGTGTTTTATTGATACCATATTTTGTTTCGTATTCGGGAGCATCTCTATTTGCTTTCTTGTACTTAGTTTATTTTTTTTCTAAGAATCTGTTCTTATCAGTCCCTCACCAGAAGTTACTAGACGGGCCTGTGGAAGAACAAATACTCCTCTGAATGTTCTGCTCTGCTTGGCCTCGCTTCTTTGCAAGTGGGGGATTGAGTTTCTGGAGGCTGGGATTGTTTCAACTCAATTCAAGTATACCTGACTAGTGCGATGTCACTTAGAATTTTAAACTATCAGATCATTTCTGGACTTTTTGGTGTATATTGCATTTTTAAATTGCAGCAAGCAACACCACCTCCTCCCTCCTGTCTCTCAAACACACACATACACATGCATACACACAATGTACATACAGACTGACAAATAGAAAGTTAGGTTGGGGGTTTGACAGATCAGGATGGGTCTCTTGGTTTAGTTTTGACTCTTTTAAATCAGTCGTGCTGCCCTGGATTCATTACACTTTTAAAACAGTTGAAGAGGACTTAGTTATTACCACTTTTCTTTTTTGATAGGACGTAGACGTTACCCTGGTTTTCCAGAGGGTTGTCTTATTGAAATTGAGATGTGTTTCTGTTGTTGTCCGTAAGAGATTAGTATGTGGCTTGACGCGCTGGCTTATGAAGGATAGTCACTGGCAGTGTAGTTCATGTTATTTTTTATGAATTGTTATTTGTACATATTTTGGCCCCTAAAACGTTTGTCTACTTGTTAAAATTTCTTTCCCTCATTACATATGTATTGATGGCATAATTTTGTGACAGCTGACAGATAGGGCATCTGATTGCACTTCTCATTCATCTGAATATGAGCAGGATAATATATGGTATGCTGGATACACTTGCAGGCAAATTATTCTAATTGACTCTTCTTTTTACCTCTATTTATTCTTGATGAATGCTTAAACCTTACACTGTAATTTATAACCCTAGCTGTTGTTTATTCTATTTTAAAGGAAAGATGTAAGCTTTGAGTATGCTTAAAGCTTATCAAAATGTAGTACTTTCGTGGTGTTCTACGGTCATGTTGTAGTGTGTGGCCATATAGGATTTTGATGGTTAGGAACAATGTTTAATATGTTAACCAGCCATCTTGCATCAGGATGTGCACTGTAATATTATGTTCAAACATTAAGAGCCATGCATTTAGTTAGCATATGATGTTAGCTTATCATGAGAACCTTTGGACAAGCGGATTATGTTATTGGAGAATTCACTCATTTTGGTTCCTTTGAGGTATTTCCCGGAGATACAGTTGATATTGTCCAAAACTAGATGTCCAATTGTTTTTAATCTGGATGGTCATAATTTGTTCTTCAGTCAATCCATTTTGTTTGTGCTAATTATGTCAGTAAGTATTTCATTCACCATTTAAATGCTATTATGCAGCTTTTAGCCAAATATGGCACAATTTAGACTTTTCGTAGTCCCTTTTGTAGGCCAGAATTTTCAGCTCAATTTCTTTGGTTCATTGCTTTGAGGATGTTAAAAATTTAGAACCTGATGGTGTTTTCTTTGTTTTAGGAATTATGGGAAGGTACTCACTATTTCTGAAGCTCATTCTCCTGTTAGCCCCAAAAGTACTCCGGCAGAGCTCCCTCAAAAGGTGTTGGAATCTTTGTTTAACATCTCCAAGAGTCCCGAATATGAACCAAAAACCATGAATTGGAAGAATGTTGCAACTAAATTGCAGTCATTGGCACCTGGGTATAATGTTTGCACTTCTAGTGCAGCAGAAGCACAGCAGGACACTTATGGTACTAAACTTTCGATCTCCTCACGCTTCTTTGCAGTTGCATCTTGTCCTGTGCTAGGGGTTAATTTCATTTTATATTAATGGTTTATTTATTTTCAGAATGAATGTTTTGATTTATTTATTGAATGTATCCTATTGTTTCTTGGAATGAACTGTTATCTATCCCAAAAGTATATAAAGTTCTCTATCTACCCAGCTATAGCAATGTCTTTATCTTTGTTGTCCTCAATTTTTTTGTCTTAAATGTAGTTAAAGGAGATGAATATCATGCATTCAGAGGAACTGCAAAGGAGCACTGGGATTCAGTGAGGTCCTATTATCAGAAAGTAAGAGTTTTAACACCTTACTTTCAGTGGTTATTTTAGTAACTTACTGATGATGGAACATTTTTTTGCAGGCTGCAACGGCATATTCAAGAGGAGCACGGGAACATGCAGGTTACCTCGCTGAGCAGGTTTGGGCTTCTCTAAGAGCATAACATTGTTTTTGTTGTTTGGGAAGTGTGCTTTCTTTGTATTGAAAAATATGATGTGCTTTGAGGCATGCATGTCAACTTTTGCCATTGATGGTGGAGTGTCTGGCCCGTGTGTTTTCTAGATTTGTGGACTTTCCATCCAACAAAGCAGCATTGGTTTCCCTCTATCAATTTCCTTATCTACTCAATGGTGTAGGATAAAACAATATCCTAGGTTGATGCCCCTTTGAGTATTAGTCTAAGGTTCTATTTCCAAGAGGGCAAAAGCCTCACGGACAAGTGTTTTGTAATGTATTTAGTTATATTTTATAGAAAAGGAGTTGAATTCAAGTTGAGTTATAAATGTTACCTCTTATCTTTTGATTTGCTAGGGGAGGATACAAACTAAATTGGCACAAGTGGCTGACGAAAGGGCAAGCCAGGAAATCTTTAAAGCTAGGTTGGTGCAATACTGGCTTGAAAATATTAGTTGTCTTATTCAACTCTCACATTTCGTGTTTGTAGACAAACTAACTAATGCTCTAATCTGCAGAAACAAGGGCATAGAAAATGTGATAACAATTGATTTGCATGGGCAACATGTCAAACAAGCCATGAAACTTTTAAAAATCCATCTACTGTTTGGGACGTATGCACAATGTAAGTGTTAACAATTTTCTTTTTGCTTTCCCTTTGAACAAATTTATTCTGCAATTTTATTTAGCATGGTCAATTTACTTGCTTGCTCTGGTGCAGCGGTTCAATTCCTCAGGGTTATCACAGGGTACGGGTCACATGATTATGGAAAGTCAAAGCTGAAGCAATCGGTAGGGGTTTCAAATTCTCTGTGGCATGAATTTCTTAGGGAAATAGTGGGGTGCTTGGTAATGCATATTAAAATTTCATACTGGTGCCCGTCTGTGCAAATAAAATGTCTCTTACTTTATGATGGTGCTTTTTTGTATGTTGCTAGTGTAGTTTTTGGTGTTATTTCACTCGATTGCATATTGATTAGGGATTCTTTTTGAAGCGGTTGAACGCTAACAACGGTTTTCTTTTTGGGAAGTTTGAGTTTTCATAACAATTATCCAGAGTTTGTTTTTTCTTTTCTTCCCCTGCCAATATGTGGGTATATAGCATAATAAATGAATGTAACGATCAATGAATTTTACCTTGCCATCTTTTTATGCAATGATTGTAAGAAGAAATGTTAGAACTATCCAAAGTATATCTTGGTTTCTTTAATTGGATTATTTGATCTCTTATCCTTATAAATATAAGCTTCGTTCAATACTTTTCTTGCTGCTTGCATTGTACAGGTCATTGAACTTGTTGAGAATGAAGGTATTCAATGGAGCGAAGAGAATCGAGGAGCAGTATTAATTAAGCTAGGTTCACATAGAGAGTTCAGCTTTCTGGATGCGGAGAGTGATCCCGACTAACCTCCTTTAGCATGGTTACCAGGCATGATCCCTTTTCATAGTTACTGAATTAAATTACCTCAAAAACTAGTTTGTAAAACCCACCACAGGTTGTGTTTGTGGTCAATGTTGTTGTCAGTCAATAGGGAGGTAAAGTGTAGTCGCCTTAATGTTGTGTTGGAGGCCAGGTTAACAGATGTCCATATTCATCTCTTTTCTCTAGGTCGCTAAATTATTTAGACGCCTTCATTGAAGAAACTAGCTCAGCTCAAGTTGCTCGTTGTACTTACTGTGTGTAGGGCATGTATATAACTTGAGAAAACTGTATAAATTTAACCGAGTTGACAATGACCTGAAACTGAAACAGTTTGATCATAACATGCATTGTCGTTTGATACTTTTTCCTGGTTCCTGTTTTGCATGCTCGTAAGTTATGTTTTCGCGCCTCATATACAATTAAGACAGGCTCTTCACATGCCAATTTCAGTATTTTAGATAGAATTTGATGGATTTGGCAGACAGGAGGTAAAACAGAACACTTAAAACATGGTTTAGAGGGAGCCATCCAACCGTGTTACATGTTGTCTACGGCAGCAAGAAATACAATAGGCAGAGTATTCCCTATCGGGTCTTCCTATCCTTCCTGCTGCTGCTACTCTGGCTAGACGGAGCTTGTGAGCAAGAGTTCTCCCCCGGAAAGCGGCTTTCTATTCTATGTTAGAGTCAAAATGTGTTGGAATCGAAGTGAAATTCGTGAACTAACTTCACAATATAACGATGATTTGTAAGCCTGGTGTTATTGACGCTAAAGGTAAGTTCCTCTTTCGAGTCTTTCCTCTTCTTCCTCAAATTCACATGAAGCCCCAATTTTTGGTTTACCCAATTCTCGAGGATTAACGTTCATTAACCTTTAGGTTTAATATTAAAAGTTGAGACTAAACTATAAAAGCACGTTCATTTATTTTGGGGTGTGATGCTCACACATCTTATTTTACTTCTTCTCACGCATCTTTTTTAATTTTCGGTTGTCGGATCGTATGAATTAAAGAAAATCAACTGACATAAATGATCAAGAGGTGTGTGAGAAGTAAAGTATGGTGTGTGGATAGCACACCCCATTTATTTTTTCATGCTTGATATTAAATCGAATAATGTATTCTCTTTTTTAGTTAGAAAAAATGAAATTTTAACGAAAAACTCTTGGTATTGTTCATTTTTACACTAAAAAGTTAATCATGGTACAATTCATTTTACCATTTATTTTGTTTTTATCGTTAAAACTTAAAGTTTCGAGTCATTTTTATTGTTTTTTCTTTAAAAAAATTGGAAAGAAGAATGCAATAACTTTATTAGGACATTTGGTATACGAAGTTTTTTTTTATTTCAGAGTCATACATGAAGTCTTAATTTTGGAACAATCTTATACATCCGTTAAGCTGACTATTAAGTTAGTCGTTAACTGGTGATGTAATGCTCACGTGAATATTAAAAACTTAAATAATTTTGTTTTTTTTTTTGAACAAAAAAACTAAAAAAGTGAAAAAAGAAATTTTCCCCTGCCAAATTGCTTCGTTTCTTTTTCTCTTCGTGCAGAAGCAGCAGCAAAGCTGCTGTTCTTGTTTTTTCCTCTCCTTTGCCCTCCTAACCTCCAACCATCATATCTTTTTCATTCGGACAACGATTTCGACTAATCTTATATCAAAATTCATGCCGTAGTCGCGCCCAAACACTTTTGTCACCTTTGAATCTCTGAACAACCACTGCACCAGGCAGATTGAAGGCGAGGAAATAAGTCACCTTCGCCGGAAAATTCGATTTTCTGGCCAAACCGACGGGAAAATGGGTCTCGGACCAACAGATAAAGTTGATCCTCTCCTCACGGGATTTCTACCTATGTAAGTGGGTTATTTTGATTTCAACTTTTGGGTTCTGAAGACTTTTTCGAAATTCAAGGTTTTAATTCTAATTGTGGTTGTTTGTTGAAGTTTTAGACTCGATTTGTTGACTGGACGAGGAATCGAAGCTCAGCTGCAAGTTAGGACATGAATACGGACGATTTGGGTAAAATACTAAAAACCCTAAACCCTTTTATTTTGGGTTTAAGAACTAGGTTTAGTAAATGGTGTACTTTGCTGTGTTGTTGTGAAATTAAGTAATTCTTAGAAGTTGCGGTCTAGTGTGGAAGTGGGCAGGTTATGTGTTTGAAATATTCTCGACATTACTAAGGTTTTGGTGTGGTTTTGATGATGGAGTCTGTATGCTAGAAAATAGTGAGCAAAGAATTACGTAAATTTGAGATTAGAAGACCGAGTCATTAGAATCTGTCCATATTAAATTACCTTTATATCTTGAATACTTTCTGAGTGAAAATGGCTTTGTGTAGGTGCAAGGTCTTTTAGACAGTTCTAGACACTTAAGAGAGCATCCTCCTCACAACAAGGACAGAGCGAAGTTCCTGTGAGTGGACCTTGTATTCATAAAATGGTTTCCTTATATTTCTATATAATCACAAATGATTTCGAATGGTTTTGACTATAATTATGATCATGCCTATATCTGGTTTTCTTATATATATATATAATTACAAATGGTTTCGAATGGTTTTGACTACACTTGTCATCAAGTCTATACGTGGTTTACTGTTGATTATGGTTGATACTTCATACTTGAGAATTATGGTTTGATTTTGGATATGCAAACTATTGTGGGAATTTGGTTTTTTGAGATAATGGTTTCACTAATAGGCATGATCATGCATAATCCACCCCATTGGATTTATGATCTTATACACCACTTGGTATACATGTACTTATGTTATAGTATCTTTCTCCTACGGCCATAGAATACATTATTGTCATGACATTCATTATGTGTTAAAGTCCCTTGGTTGGGTCAGAGGCCCAACTCCATTCGTATCTGGGGTTAGAGTCATCGGGGTGGGTTAGAGCCCCAACTTATTCACATTTTGGGTTAGAGTGTCAACTTATTCATATTATGGGTTAAAGTCCCAACTTGTTTCTTACTATGGGTTCAATTCTCTACATTTCCAGTTAGAGTCCCAACTTATCCATATTATTGTTTAAAGTCCCAACTCGTTTCTTATTATGGATTCAATTGTCTACATTCCAGTTAGAGTCCCGGCAAGGTACATATCATTTGGGTTTGAGTTCCGACTTAGGCATGTGATTTGCATTACCATTGGTGTAAGTGTTGGTTTGGATTATTATGATTATGATTTTGCTTTATGATGATGATGATTTACAAAGTTGGCAGCTCTAACACACTTCCAAAATGTAAGGAGCCTTACCCTTGTCATAGAATTTTTGTAATAAATCCATCTGTGCATGGATAAAGCATCTAGAATTTCTTTTGAATACTTTAACTTCCGCATGCACATTAGTACTTATGCTCTGAACTATGAACATGCTTATAGTGGAGGGCCTGAGACCCGTTTGGTTTGGCCTTTTAGGGATGTTCAGTTGTGAAATATTTGTGAACTATTATGTATGCATGTTGGTTTTAATCATATTTTAAGGCAAACTACACCAAAATTTTGAAAGGCCCTACTTGAATTTTTAATTCTTATCCTTTATGCATGTTTTGGCTTGCGTCACCTTATAGGTGTCCGCCAACACGACTTGATTCAGATGGATATCTGGGTCGGGACGTGTCTGATTGGTCTCAGAGCATAGCTTTAGGAATCCTGAAATCATGCACCTTATAGTGCCGTATGGGACGTGTCTTATGTTTTATTGCTAGAGCAATGCCACCTCGACGTTAAACAATCACTCCACCATATAGTTTTCCTGGCTTAGATTAGTTAGGGATGCTACTGCACAAGGCTTTCAGAGTGTTAGGGTGGTGGTCGCACCTTCCTTGAGATGGCACGTAGAATGGGAGCACTGACCCTTGACGGGGCAGGTGATGATGGAGATCAAGCAGAGAATTGGTTGGAGGAAATGGAGCGCCTCTTGCAAACCATGAATAACTGCCTTGAGAAGTATTGGGTTTCCACAACCACATTTTTCCTCATCTAGAGTGCAAGATCTCAGTGGAATGTTGAAATGCAAATGCTTCCTTGAAACACTATGGTTTCAAAACTAATTTCAAAGTCAGGTTCTTTTCTCCGGAGTTCAAGAACCAAAAAAAAAAAAAAAAAAAAAAAAGAATTTTTGGATCTATAACAAGGTAATATGAGTGTCGGAGTATGAGAGGAAGTATAGTGAACTCCCAAAGTATTGCCTTGCCATAGAAAAAGACCTAGATGAGTTGTTTACTCATTTCATATTGAACTTAATGAGTACATCAGAATGGCTGCCGCATCCAATCCTTGTTGGACTTACAATGAGGAATTTCTGGTAGCCTTGAGAATAGAAACTTTTACTAATCTTGGTGTTGGTAGTAGTAGCTACAATTGATTTGGGTCCAGACAACGAGGTAGATTTTCAGTGGGAGGTCTGAGAGACCGTTGACCATTCAAGAAGAGTGGACAGAGCTTTGCTTCTTCTAGTGGCAATTCTAGCACTAACACTCCACGATCTGGAGGGAGGTTGTCTGGTAGTTCTCGTTTCTCTAATAGCAGATAGTCTGGTAGTACTGGTAGTAGTGCAAGTCGTCCATATTGTTGACAATCTAGACAACACCAAAATGGTGATTGCAGACGGGGCACTTCTACATGTCACACGTGTGGTTAGATAAATCATTGGCAGCGAGAATATCCCTTAACAAAACATGAAAAGAGTATGGGCTCTGGACGAGTTTAGCGAGCAGACTGTAATGCAGGTACTCTATAACATATGTATCAACAGAATCAAAGAGTAGCATCTAGTAGCAGGGCCTAGTATAGTTAGTTAGGTGTGGCAGTCAGCCCCAGAAGAGTCGAGGGGGCCGCACAGGTGGACAAGCGGGTTGGAGATCGTACAACCTAACCCAGTAGGATGCGCAGACCAACCAATGTCATTATGGGTACGTTAAATGCTTTTAGATACTTAGCTAGAGTTTTTAATTAATCCTGGTGTCACGCATTCGGTTTATTCGCTGATGCTTGCCCAAAAAGTTAATCCACAACCAACAACTCTTGGATTTGAATTCCCATTCAAGGGTTGTCCAGTTTTCATCGATGATGAGATGGTGGAGGCTGTTTTCATTCATTTGATTATTCTTGACATTGACCTTAGTCTGGAAATGGGTTGGTTATCTAAAAATTATTCCTTGGTGGACTGTTACACTAAGGAAGTCACTCTTAGGACACTTGGGAGATCATATATAATTTTTTAGGACGAAAGAAGAATTCTTCAGAACAATATAATTTCGGCGCTGAGAGCAAATAAGCTTTTGAGAAAGGGTTGTGAGGGACATTTGACTCATGCAGTGATGAAGGAAGATTCTCCTGTTAGAGTTGAGGATGTTCCTATTTTCAACAAACCTTGATGTATTTCCTGAGGATCTACTTGGGTTACTGCGAGAGAGAGAAGTTGAGTTCATCATTAACTTGGTTCCAAGCACTGATCCCATGTCTTTAGCACCATATCGAATGACTCTAGTTGAGTTGAGAGAGTTGAAAACTCAACTTTAGGACTTGATAGACAAGGGGTTTATTCAACCTAGCACTTCACCTTGGGGTGCTCTTTTTCTCTTTGTAAAGAAGAATGGTGAGAGTATGAGTTTGTGTATTGATTGGAGACAACTCAGTGGGTGATAGTGAAAAGTTGCTATCCCTTGCCTTGTATTGATGATTTGTTTGATCCACTTAAGAGTGCACGTGTATTCTCTAAAATAGATTTAACATCAGGATATCATTGGTTACTTATTACGAGAAAGGATGTTCCCAAGATAGCATTCATGACTTGTTATGGCACTATGAGTTTCTAGTGATGTCTTTGAGTTGATGAATGCTCTTGTATCATTTGTGGATCTAATGAACATGGCATTTAGACCATAGTTGAATCGGTTCGTTATTGTGTTCATTGAGAAAGGAACAATAATATGCTAAATTCAATAAGTACAACGTCTGGTTGGATCATATTAGTTTTCTTGGCCATGTGATTCTAGTTGAGGGAATTTATGATGATCTTTAGAAGGTATCTGCAATTGTAGCTTGGGAGCAACCTAAAAATGTTACTAAAGTGAGAAGTTTTCTTGGTCTAGTTGGATACTAATGGCGTTTTGTGAAGGATTTCTTAGCTATAACTTTGCCGCTCACAAAGTTGATCAGGAAAAGAGTAAAGTTGATTTGGGATGTAATTTGTGAGAAGTTTTCAGGAGTTGAAATACCATCTCACACATGTACTTGTATTAGCACTTCCTAATAAGAGTGGTGAATTCAAGATCTATAGTGATGCTCTTTTACATGGTTTGGGTTGTGTGTGGGTTGTGTGCTGAAGCAGCATGGGAGAGTCATTACATGTGTTCCAGACAACTTAAATCCCATGAAAAGATTTATCCCACTCATGACTTGGAGTTAGTTGTAGCAGTATTTGCTTTGAAGATTTGGAGACATTACCTGTACAGAGAAACATGTCGTATCTTCACAGATCACAAAAGCTTCAAGTATGTCACTCAGAAGGAATTGAATATGAGGTGGATAAAGCTGATTAGTGATTACAACTGCATCATTGATTATCATCCTGACAAAGCTAATGTGATGGTCGACGCTCTTAGTCCTCAGTGGAATGAGAACAGAT